ATCTTTGAGGCCACGCCTCCAGTGACCTAAGACCATTCAGTAGGACCCAGCTTTTAAACTTTCTACCACTTCCCACTAACACCAAACTGAGGACCAAACCCCTAAAACATTGACCATTAGGGGACATTCCAGATTCTTTCAAGTTTTTCCAGTTGTCCCTATAGCATCCTTTATAGGACTCATAGATAGACTCCATTCAGAACTGCATTACATTTCTTGTGACCTATCTTTATTCTCCTTCACTCTAGAGCAGGCCTTCTATCTTTCCTTGACTTCTATGACCTTGACAGTTTTGAAGATTATTTTGTGACATGTCCATCAACTTGATGTTTTCTCATTATTAGATTCATGTTATGCAGCTTTTTGTCAAGAAAATAAAAAGGATGCTGTCCTTTTGTCATTTCATCCTGTTAAATGGAACAAAAATTTTATTTATGCCATTGTGATGATGTTCAAATTAATCAGTTGATTAATGTGATGTTTACTCACTTTCCTTTCCTAATTAATTAGTATTTTATGGGAAAGTACTTGGAAATTATGAAAATATTCTTTTCCTCATTAAAATTTCGATTTGTTCAACATTTAGATACATAAGTATAGACTTGTGATTTTCTATTTTATTTCCTTACTGGCTTTATTACTATGAAGATCTAATTTTCCAAGAGTTGAACAGAGGGCACCCATTCAAGCTGGGTTTTGTGTCCTTTTGGTACGTTCTCATTCTTTGAGCACTTCCTTGACTTTTGGCATTAAAAGATGTCACATTTCTCTGTTGCTTTTCTGCCTGAGCCCTGAAGGCAGCCATTTCCCAAGGAGCTCTGGTTCTCTCAGTGTTAATATCTGGGTACCAGCTGTACCCATGGTTATTAGGGTTGTGTTAGCTTAAGCTGTTGTAAAAAAATGCCACAGACTGGGTGTTTAAGCCACAGACTCTTACTTCGTACAGTTCTGGAGGCTAGGAAGTCTGATATTGGACTGCATGATTCTGTTCCTGGTGAGAATTCTCTTCCTAGCTTTTAGATAGCCAGTTGCCTTCCCATTGTAGGTGTACATGGAGAGAGGGTGGATATTCTCTGGTGTCTCTTCTTATAAGAGCACTATAATGGGGGCTGTTACCTCACAACCTCATCTGAACCTAATTACCTCCCAAATACTCTACCTTCAAATACTATCACCTCAGGGCTGGCCAACATACAAAGTGGGGAGGGGGCACATTTAGTCCATAGCAAAGATTTGATGCTCACAGGCCCTCTCAGTGCAAGAGTGAGGATATATATCTATATAAAAAAAGATAAAGAGCAAAATATGTCTATACACATTTATAGATATTTATTGCACACTTTACAGGCATTTTTAATCTATCTATATATGCTGAAAACCAGAAGTCCATACCAATACCTCCAATTCCAATCCCAAACTACAGTTCATCCTAGTTTCTTCTTTTTGAATATTTATAACTCCCTTCTCCAACAGTGAGAAACCCAGATCCTATTGTCACAGGTATTATTTTCTTGTTTGATCTGTAGCCCTGGGGTAATGAGGCTTTCATCTCTGCCTGTCTCCTCCCCGTGTGGATATCCTTCTCAGGCTCTGATACCTCATGCTAGGCACCCCTCCCCTGAAGCTCTGGACATTTCTTACTGCACTAGAACTTGACCTCCCTGTACTAGGTACTTCACCATGACCACCCACATTAGATACCTTCCCCCTCTCTTTGAACTCTGTCCATGCAAGGCTTCCCCCTGCATAGAATTCCTCCTTGCTCTGTTTGTCTCTGACTCATCATATCATAACTCCATCACTCCACCTATGGTCACTCTCCTCACCTTACTTGGGCTCTGACAATACTTCTTTGTGTGCAAGAGGCAATTATATTTACATGTAAGTCCCCCTGAAGGCTTTGCTTTGGACACATTGATCCTACTAAAATGTGGGTGGGAAAAAAAAAAAAAAAAACACTTATTGGTGCAAAGAGTGACTTGACAAGAAAAGAAAAGGGCACTTTTACATCTCATCTCATTTTGCTTTTTCCTCAGAATAAATTGCTTTGCAGCTTGGCCCCAGAAATCTAAATTATAGATGACCTTGAACATCAGACTAAGGCATTTGCTCTTTATTTGAAGTAATAAATGGATACAATATGAATGAGTTTGAACAGGGAAAAAAAGCATAGTATTGTGAAGAAAACTTTAGTTTCTAATGACCAAATTGAAAAACATCATGAATAGGTTGTACATTATATTAACCATTTTTTAGGATGGAGAGTAGAAAGTTAACAAATTTAATCACAGAAACTGTTTTATAGTTGGAATGCTGATAAGCTGGTTTAATAGTAAGTAATATATTTATGTTATTTGGATAAATCTGCCTTGATATTATTCCCTGACTTGTTACTGTCTTGCCATGACCACAGAAATCAATGTTTACCTTGCTGATATTTATAACAAGTAAGGTATCATAAACTGTAGTGCATATCTAGAATAACTGACTTCATCTAAGTAAGAAAAATGTATGCTTTTCAAAATTCTTTTTCACATTTAAAGGAAAGACTATTAAATATTTGGGCATTTGATGTTTTTAACAGGAGAAAGGCATGCAGATTCTATTTAGTAAGTTTTACATGTATAGGAGACCCTTCACATTCAAAATGAAGCAGAGCCCAGCCCTTATGTACTAGGTTGGACAAAGAATAGCAAATCATGAAAATATGGCAAGACAAAGGGTATGTGGAAAAGGGACGGTTAATTGTGGAAAAGTAACAGGAAGATCAAGGTTACTCTAAGGTTTGTAGGATTTCTCTTAACCATCTCTGGTGAGTGTCTTTCTCCTGGCATAAGAAGGGAACCTTTCATGTGGAAGTTGTATCTCCTACTTTCAAGAATAAAAAGGAAGGTCAGGGGACGGGGGTATAGCTCAGTGGTAGAGCATTTGCCTGGCATGCCTCAGGTATTCTTGCAGTTGCTTTTTTACAAATGTCTTTAAGTAAAAAATAATCAATGTGCCAAAGCAGCATATCTTGGAGTGGCATACTTGATTCTCTACAAACTCAACATGTAGCCATAAAGACCTACCATTTTTCCTTCCAAATATACCTTCATGTTCCTTCCTGCTTCTCACCTTTCCTTTCTCCAAAACTCTCTCTCTACCTTGCTCCCCTCAGATTTCACATCACCCTTAAAGTATAGCCCAAACTCTTTAACTCCTCTTACAAAGCCCTTTCAGGTCTGGACCCCACTTTCTTATTCCACCCCATGTCACCCATCTCCCCTTTACCCTGTGCATTCTGGTTGTGTGGAACTTCTTGACCCGCTCTCTTGCTTCTGAGGCTGTGCATGTGCTGCTCTCTCTGTGTGCATTTGATTTTGGAGAAACACCTTCAGCACTACTTAATTACTATGGAAACTAAGATATAATGAAACTCTTTTATTTTCAATACACAGACTGGAGAGATCTGCCCACATGCTCTTTCAACTAGGTCAATAGTGCTTGACATCAACTGACTGCAGGCATCAGAACCCTCGTGGCCTCAGGTGTCAGCTCCCAAGTTCACTGGGCAGATCCAGAGCAGGGTAACAAGAAAGAACAAGGAGAGAGAAGATAACCATGCAGACAGAAGGCAGAGATCACTGGAAGGGTGAGAAAGGTCCACAGGGGAGCATGAGAAAGGAAATGAAGGAGTAGAAATGGAGAGAAAGAGGGGGGAAAAGAAAAGCAGTTGAGAGGAAATGTGAAGATAAGGTTACTGAGAAGTGAGGTTGATTATCAGAGGAAATATGGAAATAGACAATGAATGTTTCAGAAGAAACAAAAACCTCTTACATATAACAATTTGAAGTCATGGAGATATTTTATTGCTTAAAATTTACAAGGCTGGCTTTAAAGAAAACCTCTCTGACCTCTGACCCATGGTCAGGTCTGAGGAGACTATGCTTTGGTTTGTCCACATGCTGAAGTCCACAGCCTCCCATCAATGCTAAGGGAACATCCTCTGGTGAAGCAAATCAAAAGTGAACTTTGGTACTGCATCGTAGTTTGTGGCTATCTTAACTTACATAAGAAATAGGGGGAAAAGCCTTAGATCACATTGCCTTGAGTTTAAATAACATTGTTAAAGACTTCTCTGAGGTAGATAGGAGATCTGTAGGTTTTTAGCCCCCATTTTACAAAAACATAAAATGTAAAGAAAAAAAAAAAACCAGGGATTAAATTGTATACAAACAAAGTCTAGAATGGGAATGTTTTGGCTTAGTTGTCATATTTTTAATCAGGTGCAACAAAACTAAGCTAATTCCACACAAGAATGATAAAAATGTTTCAGTTGGTCCACATTCAATGTGGCCAAATAAAACCACATTTCAGACTTATTCCCCTGAGTGCAAAACTAAGAACTATGCTCTGGTTTCACTTTTAGTCCTATTTCTCTTCATTTGAAGGTTTCCCTTCAGATTTGAAGGCTGCCACTGTCTTCTGATATCATTATTTTCACTCACAAGCTTTGGCTGATGGAGTATTGGTTCCACAGGCAAGTGACATGCAAGAGCTGCAGGGCAGGGCCTTCCTCTCCTGTGGCCACCACAAGGGGAATCCTAAGAGCACTTCGTGGATCTTACAATCACTTGTCTTTTTGTGACATCATAAAGTTCAGTACTAGCAAAGTGTGGGTTAAGGTACTTAGTACTGTGGGAGGGAGAAATGGGCAGGAGCAGGCCCATTTCTCTGCCCTCAGGACACTTAGTATGGCTTGTAAAAAATGTCTGCTCTTCCTTTTTCAAACTTGCTTTTCTCTGGCTTCTCTGTCCTCTAGTTGATATGATTTTTCTGGTTTCTGTTTTTTTACACTGTCATATTATGTTCTCATTATTCTTTCAATGTTGGACTAAATAAACCCTAGGGTATTGCAAATCTGTATTTCCCTCAGAAAAGAATGTGCTCTTCATTAATGCCAATGATTTAATATTCCATTGGCTTTCACAACACAATAAGCAAGACTTTCTTAGGTAAATTTGTTTTTACAAGGCATTTAAAGTAAATTCTGTGGGTTTATTGCCCAACATGAAGTAAAACTTTCCCCAGAAATACAGCAGGGTTCACAGAATCCTCCGCATTCACAGAGCCTTGGGGCCAAACATGACAACATAGGAGGAATAGGACTCTGAATAGTGGGTGTGACCAAAATACAAATAACATTTGATTTTCCAAACTCACAAAGTATTGGAAATCAAAACTGTGATCAAATAAGATTATATGTGAGAGGCATGCTTAAGAGTCGCCACGAACTATGTGTTTTTCCGAAGCCACTGAGCTATCCTGGCATTTCGCTTTTTGTTTTTCAGATTTTCATTCTTTATTGTCTGTAATTTGGCATGAACTGTGATCCTCTGGTGCTCCTCCAACATGTTACTGAAAAACTGCTGCAGCTGGAAGGACAGAGAGACAAGCCAATCAGTGCAGTCTAACTTTTCACTTACACAATATAAAACAAAGCTCATACCAAATGGCAACATGATTCTGCAAAAGGGTAATGAGAGTAGCAGGAATGTGTATACCTAGATAATGTGTCCCTGGGGAGACTGGTGACTGAGACAAATGTGATGAAGACCATGCTTACCCAGAAAAGTTAAATGCAGATTAGAAGGTTCACGAAACAGAACTTTGTCTATTCCCAAAGCACATCCTAAGCCTCCATAAATATTTACTGAATGTTATGTAAGTTTTGTGGACTAGTAGACTCTTTTGTATCTCAAAGGAAATTTTACAATTTCCAAAGTTCAAAACGGGTATATACCACAAATTTTATTTTTTATTTTTTAATATTTTAGTCAAATTAACAGTTTGCAGATGGCATGATTATATATTTATAAAATACCGAATATCCAACAAAAAATATTAGAACTAATAAAACATTCAGTGAAGTTGCAAGATATAAACCCAAAAAACAAAATTCAATAGCATTTCTAAACATGAATAGTAAATTATCTGGGGAAAAGAAAAGCAGAAAAACAACCTTATTTCTGGTAGCTACCAAATAACTAAAATAAAATTAGTCAAAGAGGTGAAAGAACCTTACAATAAAAACTAGAAAACACTGATGAAAGAAAATGAAGAGGGCACAAAGGAAATGGAAAGACTTCCAATGTTCATAGCCTGGAAGAATCAATTTGGATAAACTGTCCATACTCCTGAAAGCAATCTACAGATTCAATGTAATCCTTATGAAAATACCAATGAGATTCTTCATAGAACCAGAAAAACAATTCTAAAATTTGTATAGGATCATACATACACACACAAATACACCTGAATAGCCAAAACAATCTTGAGTTTTTTTTAAAGAAAGCAAGAGGCATTGATTGTACTACCTAATTTCAAAATATATTAGCAAAGTTATAGTAACTAAAACAGTATGGTATTGACATAAAAACAGATATATCGGGACTAAGGTTGTGGTTCAGTGGTACAGCGCTTGCCTAGCATGTGTGAGGCACAGAGTTTGATTCTCAGCACCACGTAAAATATATAAATAAAATAAAGATAGTGTGTTTATTTACAACTAAAAAACTATTGAAAAAGAAAAACAGACATATCAACCAGTGGAACAGAATAGAGAGGCTAGAAGTAAACCCACACACATTTATAGCCAACTGAACTTTGACAATACTGCTAAGAACATGCATTGGAGAAAGGTCAGTCATATCAGTAAATAATACTGGGAAAATGGAGAAGCACACACAGAAGAATGAAGCTAGATGATGTTTTAATCACAAAGAAATAATAATGGGGGCTGGGGCTGGGACTCAGTGGTAGAGCCACTTATCTGGCACACATGAGGTGCTGGGTTCAATCCTCAGCACCACATAAAAATAAAATAAAGGTATTGTGTTCACCTACAACTAAAAATATGTATATATTTTTTAAAAAAGAAATAATGATGGAGTAGATAAGAAGGAGGAGGAAGATAGGTATGCCCTGATTTGAACATTACATAACATACATGCATTAAAACATTAAAGAGTTACTCTATAAATATGTGTAATTTTATTTATTAGTTCAAAAAAAAATTAAGAACAATATTTTGACAGTTAACCGATCTTTTGGCTAAATTGTCTCATTGGATCAGGCCTAGAACTTAGTTACTGGATAGTATAATATTTGCCACAATATTATACGTAAGTCAGACCACAACAGAATATGATATTCTGAAAGTCTATTTCTGTGTCAGTGAGTTAGAACTCAGAACACATATCACCATAAGATGATAGTGTACCCATACCTGCTCATAAAACCCATTTAAACCTTGATGCACTTGAGATTGAGTAGTAATCAGGCTATCAAGTTTAATTACTGTGTATGGAAAAGTTCTAGTGGAAAACAGATTAAGGATCTAGGAACTAGCTTTTCATTCTTTCCCTCCCTGCCCACACCTGCCAGGAAGTGGGAGCCACATGTCCACAGCTCCACACCACAGGTGGCATGCTGATGATTGGGCTACTGCAGTGTTGAGAGAGTTGGGGACCTGCAGGACCATAGATGGATTCCATATGTGCTTAAGAGCATGTGTAAGGCCAGGCTTCTTGCAGAGTGGAGCATTAAGACCAGGCCAGAAGTGTGAGGGTGTATGGAAGCTGTGTGGGTGAGTAGGGACAAGGGACTCAGATGACTTCTTTTTCATTTTCCTTTTTAGTAATTATTTAGTTATTATCATGTGAACTGACTAATATGTTCTAGTAGGACTGTTGGACACTAATACTTTGACAAGGATATCCATCATAACTAATTTTCAGAATTGCAATAATAACTACTGCTAAATAAATTTTCGTGCATTTTCCCAAAACTATAGTAACTATAGTTTTGGAAGTTCGAGGATTGTTAAATTTATACTAACTGTATTCTTTCATTTATTAAACAGCACCACAAATTTACTGGTTTCTGTAAAGCCAAAGATGAACTAATATGCATTGGAATATACAAACAAAATCTCAGTCTTGATCCTGGAACCTTCATTCCCATCATGTTCTGGGTGTGCCTTCCTCCCTCCTATGTGGGGACTCCCTGATACATCAAGTTCTGACAGTTCAGCCTCAAGCCAGCCAAACCCCAAACAAAGATAATTCCTTCAGGAATTCCCTCATGATTACTGCATAATAGACTCTCTCTCTCTCTCTCTCTCTCTCTCTCTCTCTCTCTTTTTTACTTAGGATCAAATATTAGGCCTTGAGGTCCTACACATTTTTTTTTGTTTGTTTACTTGCTTGGGGAGAGTTGAGTTTCCTTTTTTGTTTACACAGCATCTTCATGTACATATTAATATAGTTTCAGGCCATGATGTTTAATTTAATCAGTTTTATTGGAATATAATTTGTGAACAATAAGCTGATCAGTAAGCTGTATAGTTCAATGAGTTTGAGCCATGACCTTTGAAACCACGGCTTCAATCAAGAAACAGTACTCATTTTCATCACTCAAAACAATATTTTGACAGTTAACTCATCTTTTGGCTAAATTGTCTCATTGGATCCCTCATGGGCTAGGGAAATAGCTCCATTGAGAGTGCTTACCTCTCATGCACAAGGCCCTGGGTTCAATCTCCAGCACCATGAAAAAAAAAAAAAAAGAATTCCCTCTTGTGTTTTACAGTTCATCCCTCCTTCTGTTCCAGGAAGCCATTGATCTGCCTTTTTTGTCACTTTAAATTTTCCTAGAATGCAACTGGATTCTTGTATTCAACATAATCAACTTAAGATTCATCTGTATTTCTACACAAATTCATTCCTTTTGTATTTGTACTGTTCCACTGTGTGGTGACATTACAATTCACCCATCGTAGACATTTAGATGACTTCCATTTGGGGCTAATGTGAATAAAGCTGCTATGTATAAATCTTTCTATAGACAAAGGTTTTCATTTTCTCAAGCAGAAATCTAGAATTGGAATTGTTATGTCATATGTGTCTGATTAACATTTAAAAATTGCCTGTTTTCCTAAGTGATTGTACCATGTTACATTGCCACCCCCCGGCCATTCAAAGGAGTTCCAATTGTTCCATGTCTTTCCCAACTTTCAGTATTAGAAATCTAATTTTGCCTATGCAACTGGATATGTGAAGGTTATATTTCTCTCTCTCTCTCTCTCTCTCTCTCTCTCTGTGTGTGTGTGTGTGTGTGTGTGTGTGTGTGTGGTGTCCTTTTGTTCTTTTGTAGACATTTTCTTTCCCCTCTCATTTTACTTTCTGATTATAATATTCTTTTTTTTTTTCCTTCCAGAACTATACCTCTCCCATTTCCAGTGCCTGGAGTTTGAGCTGGGCTAGCTCCAAGTTTGGATACATGAGACCAATCGTAGTATCCTAGGCTCTATCCCTCCACGGCTACACACAATGATTAGTGCTAAGACAAATCAAAGTCCTTTTTTCAGGACAGAAACCTGAAGGTGGGTAAGAAACGATTACTTTTTCTGCAACTGAGAGTGCAAAAAGTCATGTAAGTTGGAGCTTCCACATGAAGAAAGCCTGTGTAAGAAGAACCGCAGCCCAGAGGAAAGCAAATACAAGATATGGAAAGCCCTGTGTTAGGCTTCAAGAATACAAATACGGCTGATATTATCTCAGTCCTTGAGGAACTTATAATAACCTCACATGGTCATCATATTCACACACTAATTTCAGGATAATGTGGTAAGCACTATGATAAAAACACTCATAGGATGATTTGGGGGCATGGAGGAAAACAGGGTATAAATCTATGTGTTACAAAATTCCTAGAATATGTGGTTGGAGCAGGATCTTAAAGGGCAATTAGGAATTATCCAACCAAAGCAGAGATGGGGAAGATACCAGAAACAGAAGGTACAATGTTTCTGAAGTCTAGAAAACATAAAAAAAATGATAACCTAATAAAATCTGTAAGCACTATGTATACTTGAGGGAAAGTATGTGAGGTATTTGTTAGTCTCTCTTGCTTTCTCATACTCAGTGGTAATATAAGCAAAAGTGAAGCCAGAGAGTAAAGCAGAGGCCAGATGATGAAGGGCATCATGTACTAATTAAAATATTTTTAAAGTTTATTCTAAAAGCTATGAAGAACCCCAAAGAATGGATAAATGACTGGCAGCAATGTAAAGGAAGGCATGAGGGGAAGAGCAACCTGGGAGAGGGAGCCCAGGCCAGTCCACTGTAGCAGTTCAGGTGAGCAAGAATGAAATCCAACCCTCCATGGACAGACAAGTCCATTTCAGAAGGATAACTAAAAACCACTTCCTTTACAGTGATAATACCACCAATGGAAATATAGAGTATAATAATTTAGGTAAGCATGTTATTTTTAATTTTAGCAAATCCAAATAGTATCATAAGTGCTTTCCAAATTATCATATGTTTTTCAATGTTTAAGGTGCTTACCTCCATGATCTGTAGATCTGTACTTATGGTTCTTCCAATTACGTACATTAGAGTAACCAGTGACTGTGTTCCATACCTACAAAACAGTAAAAATGTGATTCAGGGGTCAAAATTATTTTGCAAAATAAAGCTGTGTTTTGTGCAGCAGATAAATACTAAATGTACAACCCTTATTAATTGCTATCTCCCGAATCCAGGCAAAAACAGGAATGAAGTCCAATTTCATCTTTTAATAGAAAATCTGTTGTATAGAAAGTTCTATTAGCACTAAAGACATTTATAAATACTGAGTTGTGTAACAGTTTTTGAAGTTTTATTTAAATACTAAAAGCTCTTTTAAAAGCAACAACTGTGCTTATTTTTTTAATGAGGTAGTTAGAATACATGTTCCATGTCTCAAATTAAGAAAATTTATAAGGCAGTAAATAAACATGTAAAATTATGGCCCTTAAAAAGCAATAGTTGGCATAGGGTCAGTTTCAGAACCACTGACTAAAGTACCGTGCACTGTATTAAAAATGTTGTATTAGTTATGTTTTTGGAGAGAGGATTCCTATTTTCAGGTACTCTCAGAATGTTGATGATCACTGAAAACTCAGTCCCATGGCAACCTCCAATAGGCATGGTAATTAAAAAATGCCCTTCAGTCAGTGTCCTTGAATATCTAACAAGAATAATCTGAAAAAAAAGCTGTTGCTATGGAAAAAGAGCAGATACATACCTGTCCAAAGTGTTGCTGTAGCTAAAAATGTAAATTAAGGACTTTTGATGCATTAAAAGAAAGAGAGAAAAATTAAATTAAAATAAGATTATTATAATGGACTGAAAAATAAATGGTTTCATTGCCTTGATAATTAATACATGCAATTGATTTAGTTCAAAATGCCTACTTGAAATTAAAAATTGTAAGAGTTCATTTGCATATGTTCAAATAAAAGAGAAAATTGAGCTTTCAGTTTTTAGGGTCCCAAGTGTGTCAAGCTATGGCTACTGGAGCAAAGAGAGGACAAAGCAAACAAATCTGTGTCTATGGGGAAAGGGTAAATATCTCTTTGTGCTCCATTTTAAAGAGACAAGTAGAAAAAAAAAAACCCAAAGCATAAGAAATTTGAGTTTCAAAAAAATCAAGCTTCAATCTTAAAGACAAACATAAAACAGAAGAAAACTGTCTACTATGTCAAATGTGTGATTTTCTGCCAAATACAGGAGAAAGGTGACCCCAAGCGATGGAGCTGGGTTTGAAATCATCTTTATCAAATTTTAGAGTGTAAAAAATGGAACATAGAGTTAGATGTACGCTTTAGCAGATTGAATGAGATAGTGTGTGTGCAAGGCCTACCAGGGTCCCAAACAACTCCACTCCTTCCCAATCTCCTCAATCTCAGGAGTTGTTTTTGAGAAAGACATGATTTACCTCTCTTGAAAATGCATTCTCTTTCATTATTACTAATCAAAAATATATGCATTACCAATAGTTTATACTTCAGAATTCTGATTTATTATAATTAACATGAAGAGCCAATGTATGTCAATAGTTAACCCTTTATCCTTCATAAAAAGAAAATGGTAACTAATATTCAATTTTAGTGTGGGTACAGTGATTTGGCACTCTAGTATGGTTGACTTTCAGCCTCTCCCATTTCTCATAGTTCTCCCCACTGTCCCTAGCCAGGTCTGATTGCTTGCAGAGAGCATGGCCACCAGGTCATCAGGGAAGCATTGAGGTCTAATCCAGGGCCTGGCCACTGCACTCTAATAACATCTCAGTTTGTTTTTGCTCCTCTGCAACCTTTTCAACCCTGTTTCCATCATAAAATACAACAGAGCAGAAGAGAAAATGAACCCCTGCTTTCAAGCTTAGGACTAAAGCAATATAACAGCAGTAGGAGAAATCATGTGTTTAGGGAAGATGAAGAAAGGATGCATTTTGGACCAGTTAGGTGTGAAATTGATTGAATTCTGTATTCAAATAAAACTAGGGTTTTCCTATCAGCCGTGAAGCCCACTTAACAAGAATGGCAAGGGCATGAATACCACTTTTATCACATACAATAAAAGAGTCACAAAAATATTATTGTTTTACTCTTGCTCAAGTTCTTTCATAGGATCCATCCATAGCTGTTACCTATTGACTTTCTATAACCTAAAAGGTATCTTTTATAAGACAAGGAGTCTCCCTTGGAGTCGGCATTCAAAAATTCATCTTTGATCCAACAATTAACTAAATCCCCCCAGCTGCAAGTGTAATGCCCTGTACATGGGAGTGGGAGCAGTTGACCACATCAGGCCCACAAGAATCAAGTTATCTTACTGAATCAAATGTTGAACATATTTATCTGGATTAGATTTCCTGGGAAGAATGCTAGACCTGGCTGAGGGGAGGAGAAAGTCTGTGGACTGCTGTTGCCAGGGTGTTCAACATTTATGATTTTACTCTAGGAGACAACGTCCACAAGACTGCCTGCACATCATGGTGAAACATGCCCATGACTGCTTGAGACAGGGGAAGGATGTACTTAAAACCAGTATTGACCACTGCATGCCCACCAGGACCAAAGCTAGACATCCTGAGATGATGTTTGTTTTTGCATTAGATGTGCCGACCAGTCCCCCACCCCATGCCCATCATGTCTGCATCCCTAAGCACAGGATCCCAGAAGGATATCACCATATGAGAGTGGTGAAAAGCCCTCTGGTCATACTAATCCTAATTCCAGATCCTACAGCCAGGACCAAACCCATCACCCATTAAAAACTTTTGAGTCTGGGTTAATTAATTGCCTGTAAAATTAATTGAGAATTGTTTTATGGGTGGTTGTGAAAACTTCAATTATTACAAGTATAAACATTTCTTTCATCCTAATCATGGCATTCCAACAGGGCTAAAGGATGTTATCAATGTCATAAAGTAGAAAATGACAGTATTGAGAAAGAGAAACTGATTGACATAAGGACTCATAATAAAACAGATATAAAATCCAGTAAGATAATATTGATAATAATGAACTTTAAGCACTTATTGTGTGCTGAGTACTTTAAGTAGCAATTCATAAACTATCTTAAACATGATTATGGTTATCATCCCCATGTTAGGAATAAAAAAACTGAAGCTTAGATTTTAAAAAATTGTTTAAGGTCACACATTAGCATTCTTCTCAACCTATGATTGACCTGATTCTACATTTTGTGTTCTTAACTCTATGACATATTATGTCTTTAATGGAATAGCGGGTAGACTGAAAAAACTAAAATCACAGTAAATAAAAGGACAAGAAAAACAATGAAGAGACACTTTCTATAATTCTTAGAGGAATAAACCACCACTTTGCTATAGAGTTCTTTGTAGATCTTCCCACAACCCCCGCCCCCCACATTCTGCAATTGCCCTAATAGCCTTAACACACTATCGGCATTAAGCACAACCAGTATGTGCCTCACAGACACAAGTTAGAAATAAGAAATCACCAGTGAGGAACACACAAAATCAAACTCCATGGCAGATATTCAAATCCTGTTATAACATGTCCAACCTCTTACCCCCAAACTTATCTCCTCAACCCTATCTTCCCTAAGCTCTAAGCTCTAAGCTCCAGCAGATCAGTTTTTGTGACCAGACCCAAATAAGCCTCCCAGTCCTGCATCCAGACATTTCCTGGTGTCAGGTTCTCATATAGAAGGAGTGTTTTTCCCAAACCACCTGTTCCAATCACAATCTACTCCCCACTTCCTCTTGAATCCCCAAAGCCCTTGAGATCTCTCTTTCACAGCATTCATCAGACCTATGTACTTATCACTTTACCTCCCCATAAGAGCTTGAACTGTATCTTGACATAAGAAATTAAAAAAAAACAAAACTAAGATATTTTGTTACTGGAAAGAACCTTAGAATTTGTCTGATACAACATCTGCCATTTTACAGAGGAGGAAACCAACGCTTGAATGTCAACTAGTACACAAAAAATAAATACATGTTTCAGTTCCAGTTCTGGATGAAAGAGCTGGAAAAAAATGTCTCTCCATTCTATCCTTCTTCTGGAGCATGCGATCTACTGGCAAAAGGACATTTTGTTGACAATGGAGTATCCTATTATGGTTTGGATCTGGAATGTACTCCCTCATGTGTTCAGAAGTAGGGCTTTTAGGCAATAATTGGCTTATGAGGGCTCTGATCTCATCATGTGGCTGAATGAACTATTGGGGGATGGGATCTAGTTGAAGGAAATAGGTCACTGTGAGTATGCCCTAGACAAGTTCATCTTCTCTCTAGCCTCTTCCTCCCTCTATGTTTCTTGGCTGCTATGAAATGAACAGCTTTCCTCCACTCTATCCTTCCACCATGATGTTCTGTTTCACCTCAGGACCACAGCAGTGGAGCTCACTGACCATGGAATGAACCTCTGAAACCATGACCCCAAATAAACTCTTTCTTCTCTAAGTTGTTCTTGGCAGTTATTTTGGTCACAGCAACAAAAAGCTGACTAACACATATCCCAAGCTTATGTTCAGAAAGACTGTACCTGTAAGAGGCTAAGTATTCAAAATGCATGGAAAACTCCACATTTCTTTTTGCAGGGCTTTTCAAGACTTTACAATGTTAACATACCTTATAGGTTTACAAAAGGGAGGGTTAAAACTGACAATTTTTAAACAGCTTGGGCCATTTCTACCTTGTTCACAGAAGGCATATCAGTGTTTTCCATGAATAACATTCAGTGGAACACACTTGAGAAACCTTAAGTGATCTGTCACATTTTAGAAAATCTAGCATAAATACTTTTTGCACAGTTAATATAAAGCTTAATTTGGCATAATCTTTTTTAACTTATGCTTTTTATCCTATCTTCATCGTTACATGAAGACTGGTGACATATTAATATTCATGTCAAATATAACAGTTCAGAAAGTGATAATTAAATATTCTGATGTACAAAGAAGTAAACATTCCTGTGCCATTTTAAAGATATATAATATTTTAATTATTAAATTATTATTTTAATCACTCATAAAATATCACTGTCTATTCTAAATAAAACCATCAGCAAAATTGAACAAAACTATAATCTAAACACAGAAAATAAATGTATTCAATGTAGAAAGCAAACTTGTTTGAATCTGAAAGAAATTTTGTAGTAGAATGTGCAAAAGGAGTGAACAAAGATTAATTTGCCATAAATATGGCATCTATTATATTAGTGTGGTGTTTTCTTGAGTAAACAATAGAAATATTCAAGCCATAGTTAAAAGGCCATGCATTTATAATCTAGGAACTTCTTGGAGATAATGATAAGACTCATTTGGAGTTTAAGAAAGGAATTACTAATATGCTCTTATTTAATTTAATAAATTGACAGATAATAAACTTTTCAAAGAGTAGAATTTAAGCCTCACTAGAATATTGCCAACATTTTTCTGTTCTCTAAATTATTTTGAGGAATAAAAATTAAAACATACCTAAAGTCACTTAAATTAAAAGCAATTTTTGCCATCTTTAACACCTTTTCAATAGAGCACATGTACAGTGCATCTTCTAATTTTTAAAAAAATTTCATTTCAGAATAGTTTTAAATTTATATGAAAAGTTGCAAAAAAACCTTTCATGTGCCTGGCACTCAGTTTCTCTCTTATGGTTAACATTTGTACAATATGTTTGTCTAATGAATGGGCTGATTGTCCTCTAATTTTTAATAAAGAAAATAAATAAGATTTTTTTTTAAATTAGAAGCATGCCCTTATCATTTATTTTCTCGTCTAGTGACGTCTATGGGCTAAAGAGGCCAATATGAGGAATGCATTATCATAGACGAGAGAGAGAGCAGCAAAGTCCAGATATGTGTTTCAGGTGGCACCATACATTTATTTATGTCAGGATTCTATAAAACTGTTTTGAAGTTTCAATTTGCACATGGGCTGTGTATGGTATAAAAAGAAAGAATAATGAATGGAGTGGCTGTTTCCCCCTGAGATCAATGCTGTCCAATTAACCTCTCCACAATAATAGAAATGTCCTTGGTATCTGTGCTGTTCTCTAAGCACACTAAACTCTTAAAACAGGGATAGTGTGATTGAGGAATTGACTTTTAAATTTTATTTACTTTCAGTTAATGTAAATTTCCATATATTTGCTAATGGCTCTCATATTGGGGCAATGCAGCCTCATGTAATTTTAAATACAGCATCTACTGGTCTCATGTTAAACAAAACTAGAATCACCTGGGAAGCCAGTGAGAGATACAGATTTTCTATACTGTTCTAGAAGATTCTGATTTGAAAAGGTTAGATAGACTTGGGCATCTTCATGCTTATTAGCCACTCCAGGTGATTCTGAAACATTGCTAAATTTGGAAGTTTCTGGTTGGGACTCAGGCTTCCTTCTCTGTATGTGGACAACTCCTGGGGTTGACCAGCACCACTTCACTTTGAGCCACTCCAGGACATCCTATGAGGATGCTGAGTGCCAGGCACTACTAAAGAGTAAGCCTGGGAAGTTACTGTACCCTGTGTCTTCCTCGGGGCCCCAACAGTGCTTCAGAAGGAATGGAGAGTGTGACACCTTGTGGTGATTACAACACAGGTCCTCAAGCAAACCACGACACACTTCTTAAATGAGCTGTTTGCCTAACATTTTAATTCCAAAATTGCTACCAAAGAGGTCATCAAGGGATTCTGGAAGAAGAGTCAAGGATGGTAGCTAAAGAGAATGACTGAGAGCAAGCTGACCAACACAACAAAAAGATAGGTGGCTATCACCTATAGACCAGAAAAGCCAGGCCCATTAGACCTAGGTGGGCATGGGGACAGAGGGTTTTGTCAAAAGCTCCAAGGAGAGAGAACAGAGACTAACAAACAGCCCATGAGGCTCAAATCTCTGAAACTTCATGCAATCAGGGTACCTTTGCACATAATTTTGAATTCAAACTTGACTTTCAAATTCCTCATGGAAGTTAAGGCTAAGGAAGGAGGGGATAGTCTTTAATGACCCAAGCAGAACTTGAAGTCAAAATTCACCTCTAAATGACCATCTAAAGCAAATAACCAACAATAACAGATAATCTAAAATAGGAGAAAAGGACAATATTCTTATTATATGGGTATAATATGTATGTTCCATTATGAACCAGAGAAGTGGTACAGTATAGATAAATTCTCATCTGAACATTTAAAATTTCTGAATCAAAACCACCTTTTTGGTGTTGTAAAGGTGTTCAATGAATGTTTACAAAAGGAAAACATTCTATTATTTTGCTGCATAAAAGAATCATACTCAATATTCTTAAATATTTATATTCTACATATTTTGTTTTAAAGAGATATATTTAGAAAAGGTATCTTACAACTTTTCATGTGCTTGGATCTTAACTTTTGGCTGCTTTGTAGCTGCTTAATCTAAATAGCAGGTAGGACAGATTAATTCTGGGCTTTTCAGAATGAATGGTTAAGTAATGTTTTAGAAAAACCAGTCGTGAAGGATGTACTGTCTTGAGTCTTACATGTTTATATATATTTTACCCAACAGAGATGCTAGGAAGCAAGCAAATTGAATCTTAAGTAAGAAATTTAAAGAGCTCAAGGATACAGAATTCAGCTATGTAAAAGAAATCTGACAAAAAATTAAAGACATGAGCAACATCCCAGGTCAACATAGTAATGAACATTCTTTCTTTTCTTTTTGGTACTGGGGACATCCCAAGCCCTTTTTAACATTTCATTTAGAGACAGCGTCTCACTAAGTTGTTTAGGGACTCACTAAGTTGCTGAGGCTGTGGCTTTGAACTGAGTATCCTCCTGCTTCAGCCTCCCGAGCCGCTGGGATTTCAGGCATGTTCCATTGCACCCAGCTGAGCATTATTTCTTAAAGATAGTGTGATGAAATAGTCACAAAATAAATGAATGGATCATGTATGCACATACCAAAACACAATCTGCTCAAATCCGCATCTCTTTAAGACAAACTTCTTCATGGGTGTGATGGGAAACCAAGGTAGATAAATATCCTGTGCAAATACATTTTCATACAGAAATTCAAAATTGAAGGTAAGTAATGGCTTCCCATTTGTGGTGAGACAAAATGCAGGAAAGATCATTGCTTCTCTAAACCATTGCAAAGGCAGTGCAAAAGACTCCTGTGTCAATGCCAGTCACAAGCTGGCACAGGTCAGTGACCTAAATAGAAGAGAGATCGCAGCTTCCTTCTTACCTTTCAATCACAGCTTGCCAATTGTTGATTAAGAAATCCTTTGCTATGTACCGGCCAACTTCAGATGCTGCCACAGCTTCCATTACATTTGTTTCATTAAAAGTGAATGGAGATGTAGTGATGGCATACTCCATATATCTTCAAGAGTGCATTTGCAAAAAAAAAAAAAAATTAAAAAATTCAATACAGAGTCAAATAAATTGAATTAAAATCCCATGGTTTTAAGTTAGCAATTCATAAACACGTTTCTTTTTAAATCTTTAGCACATTTCTGTTTTTCTCCTTTTGGTATATAAATTGAATCCCTCCACCAGGAACTTTTAAAATAAGTTGACCACAATCACCTGTTAAGTATCCATGGGTCTTTACTGCAGCTCATTGCATAAGCAAGTTGGATCCTTTCCTCCTCCTTTGTTGTATTAATGTAGACATTTAACAAAAAGTCCCATTCTTTATCACTTCCCAAGGCAACGCCATAACATAAAATCACATTTTTAATTGGATAAGGTATTCTGTAAGGTATAACATGCAATGATATTTCTCACAGTAGTTAAGTTATTCAGGTTGTCACATATTTAGAAGTAGAAAAAATATTTGAAAAAAAAAATTTGAAACCCCAGACATAAAAATCAAAGTAGAGATATAGAAAAGTAATGCAGGAACTGTCATTTGCATTCATGCCATAAGAAAAGATCATCTAATTAGCTTAAAAAGTGAGTTTTCAGAGAGAAGTAAATGAATAGTATGATGTAGGTGGATAAAAGCAATTTGGTCTTCTAACTCATTGTCATATTCCTCCTGTGGTAGAGGTAATGAAGACAAAAATGTAGTCTCAGCTTTCAGTGAGACTTCAAATTTAGAGGGTGGCGGGGGTTGGGGGAGAGATGCTCTGATAAGTTCATAGACCTAATGTGAATAAACAGTCACAAAGAACAACCCAATAAGACTCAAAACAAGCAGCAGAGAGAATTCTATGTTAAATGTTTATGGAAAGAATGCACCAGCAATGAGGGGTCCTGGGTGACAATTTACCTAAGAATTTGAATCTTCTATTGTTATGCAAAGACAATTTTTTTGTGGCAAGAACCTATAATTTACTCTTTTAGCAAAAATACCAAAATCAATACAATATCACTCATTATATTAGTCGTGGTTTACATTATATTTCTATACATGTTCATTCTATGGATGTGCACCTTTGTATACTTGGATCTACATCTCATTTCCTCCAAATCTCTACCCCTGATAATCACTATTTCATTCTATATAGACGATTGTTTTTTAAAAGGATATTTGAAAAGAAATTAGACAGAGATATTAACCAAGTGAAAACAAAATGATCACTGCCACTGTGAGAACATCCAAAAGATAGAGACATTGGTTCTAAAATATGACACAAACAAGGGAAATTACAGGGTCACTCATACTCGTTCTCTGGATGGTTCATCCATTTTCTGAAGAGTTCTCTTGACAGCTGGAGACAGTCTTCAAGACCCAACCAACATGCAGCTCCAAAAACTTTTTCCAGTGATATTCTTGAAGGAAAAAGTCAAAGAAAAGCATTTCATTTCACAGTATCACCTTCATTTTCTTCCAAGAGTGAGTGCTTCATGAAATAATGAGCACTTTAAAGCTTCCTTTCAATAATATCAGGTCTGTTTTTAAAAAATAGCTTTTGTGGATGACAAATGGATTTAAGATTCAGAGAAACTTTTGCTGAGAGGCTCTCAGGCACTAAAAAAACTCCTAAGACTAGTATTTTTTGAAAGTTAGAAATAAATTACTGCCATCTTTCATCTCCCTCAAACACACATGGGTGTACACACACTCCACATCTGTTGTCAATTTCCTCCCTTTGACAGTAATTGCCTTATGGATTAAAAAAAAGTCTTTATAGTATCTGATCTAATACACTTAAAAATAAGGATCTCTCTGCAAGAAAAAGAAAGAAAATAGTTTATTTTGCTCCTTCTGCAGTTTGCTTTCCCTTGCTTAAGTATCTGTTTCTTCCCTTACTCCTCCTGGCTATTGTGTGCATGTACAGGAAAAGAACAGAGGTGTAGGTTTGGTTTGATTTATTTTTATAGCTGAGCAAGGATACACATTGTGATTCAAAGCAAAATAATTTCCAAAATAATAGAGAGAAAAGCAACAATAAATCCAGGTAAGAAATCCCTTGCAGTGTGTCTTCCTACCCTCTCCAAGTTTGGGGTCTGGGTAAAAGAAGCCAAACTGGCTGTAAATTTCCAGAAAATGCAAAAGCCAAACGCTGTTGCTCCACCCTATAGTTTCAACCCAGCCTAGCCTGACCTTCTGATAAGCAAAAGTGGAATGTCCAAGGGTGGAGATCCTCTGAGAGAGAGTTCTGGACATTAATTTACATAACTTACTCCCTCCCCCAACCCATGCCAACCCCAAGCTGGCTGCAAAAAGACGGAATTCTGAGGAAATGCAGTCACTCCCCAAGGTTGCTCGAAGAAAAGAACCGGCCTAGGATGCTACAAAAAGTAAGCCACTTCAGTCTAATTTAGGAGAGCCAAGAATACGTCTGGTTAACATATGTGCTGCCTGATGGAGCACATTTGGCCGTTCTGTTCATTCACACAATTTGCCGGTCCATTCTATCTTAGGCTGTTCTCACCTTCTTCCACCTTCTCATGTATTCAGTTCTATGTCCTTCCAGTTACATACCCTAGAGCTAAGATTTCTAGCCTCTCAGTGGGTACAATTGAGGGAATAATCAATGTTGTATATTTTGTATTTCTTTTTTGGTCTTTATTTTTTTCATTGGTTGTTCAAAACATTACAAAAAAGCTCTTGACATATCATATTTCATACATTAGATTCAAGTGGGTTATGAACTCCCATTTTTAACCCAAATACAGATTGCAGAATCACATCAGTTACACATCCACATTTTTACATAATGCCCTATTAGTAACTGTTGTATTCTGCTACCTTTCCTATCCTCTACTATCTCCCCTCCCCTCCCCTCCCATCTTCTCCCTCTACCCCATCTACTGTAATTCATTTCTCTCCTTGTTTATTTTCCCATTCCCCTCACAACCTCTTATATGTAATTTTGTATAACAATGAGGGTCTCCCTCCATTTCCATGCAATTTCCCTTTTCTCTCCCTTTCCCTCCCACCTCATGTCTCTGTTTAATGTTAATCTTTTCTTCCTGCTCTTCTGTTCTGTTCTTAGTCGCTCTCATTATATCAAAGAAGACATTTGGTATTTGTTTTTTAGGGATTGGCTAGCTTCACTAAGCATAATCTGCTCTAGTGCCATCCATTTCCCTGCAAATTCCATGATTTTGTCATTTTTTAGTGCTGCGTAATACTCCATGGTGTATAAATGCCACATTTTTTTTATCCATTCATCTATTGAAGGGCATCTGGGTTGGTTCCACAGTCTAGCTATTGTGAATTGAGCTGCTATGAACATCGATGTGGAAGTATCCCTGTAGTACACTCTTTTAAGGTCTTCAGGGAATAGTCCGAGAAGGGGAATAGCTGGGTCAAATGGTGGTTCCATTCCCAGCGTTCCCAGGAATCTCTATACTGCTTTCCAAATTGGCCGCACCAATTTGCAGTCCCACCAGCAATGTACAAGAGTACCCTTTTCCCCACATCCTCGCCAGCACTTGTTGTTGTTTGACTTCATAATGGTTGCCAATCTTACTGGAGTGAGATGGTATCTTAGGGTGGTTTTGATTTGCATTTCTCTGACTCCTAGAGATGGTGAGCATTTTTTCATGTACTTGTTGATTGATTGTATGTCCTCCTCTGAGAAGTGTCTGTTCAGGTCCTTGGCCCATTTGTTGATTGGGTTATTTGTTATCTTATTGTCTAATTTTTTGAGTTCTTTGTATACTCTGGATATTAGGGCTCTATCTGAAGTGTGAGGAGTAAAAATTTGTTCCCATGATGTAGGCTCCCTATTTACCTCTCTTATTGTTTCTCTTGCTGAGAAAAAAACTTTTTAGTTTAAGTAAGTCCCATTTGTTGATTCTTGTTATTAACTCTTGTGCTATGGGTGTCCTATTAAGGAATTTGGAGCCCGACCCCACAATATGTAGATCGGAGCCAACTTTTTCTTCTATCAGATGCAGAGTCTCTGATTTGATATCAAGCTCCTTGATACATTTTGAGTTAACTTTTGTGCATGGCGAGAGGAGGGGATTCAGTTTCATTTTGTTGCATATGGATTTCCAGTTTTCCCAACACCATTTGTTGAAGATGCTATCCTTCCTCCATTGCATGCTTTTAGCCCCTTTATCAAATATAAGATAGTTGTAACTTTGTGGATTAGTCTCTATGTCCTCTATTCTGTACCATTGGTCCACCCGCCTGTTTTGGTACCAGTACCATGCTGTTTTTGTTACTATTGCTCTGTAATATAGTTTGAAATGTGGAATCGCTATACCTCCTGATTCACACTTCCTGCTTAGCATTGGTTTTGCTATTTGGGTCTTTTATTTTTCCATATGAATTCCATGATTGCTTTGTCTATTTCTACAAGAAATGCTGTTGGGATTTTGATTGGCATTGCATTAAACCTATAGAGAACTTTTGGTAATATCGCCATTTTGATGATGTTAGTTCTGCATATCCATGAACAGGGTATATTTTTCCATCTTCTAAGATCTTTTTCTACTTCTCTTTTTAGGGTTCTGTAGTTTTCATTATATAAATCTTTCACCTCTTTTGTTAGGTTGATTCCCAAGTATTTCCTTTTTTTTGAGGATATTGTGAATGGAGTGTTTTTCCTCATTTCCGTTTCAGAAGTTTTGTCGCTGATATACAGAAATGCCTTTGATTTATGCGTGTTGATTTTATATCCTGCCACTTTGCTGAATTCATTTATTAGTTCTAGTAGTTTTTTTGTAGACCCTTTTGGGTCTTCTAGGTATATTATCATGTCACCCGCAAATAGTGATAATTTAAGTTCTTCTTTTCCTATTTTTATGCCTTTAATTTCTTTCATCTGTCTAATTGCTCTGGCCAGTGTTTCGAGAACTATATTGAATAGAAGTGGTGATAGAGGGCATCCCTGTCTTGTTCTAGATTTTAGAGGGAATGCCTTCAATTTTTCTCCATTCAGAATGATGCTAGCCTGAGGCTTAGCATAGATAGCTTTTACAATGTCGAGGTAAGTTCCTGTTATCCCTAGTTTTTCTAATGTTTTGAACATAAAGGGATGCTGTACTTTGTCGAATGCTTTTTCTGCGTCTATCGAGATGATCATATGGTTCTTATCTTTAAGTCTATTGATGTGGTGAATAACATTTATTGATTTCCGTATATTGAACCATCCTTGCATCCCAGGGATGAATCCTACTTGATCATGGTGCACAATTTTTTTGATGTGCCTTTGTATCCGATTCGCCAGAATTTTATTGAGGATTTTTGCATCTAGGTTCATCAGAGATATTGGTCTGTAGTTTTCTTTGTTTGAGGTGTCTTTGTCTGGTTTCGGAATCAGGGTGATGTTGGCCTCATAGAATGAATTTGGAAGAGCTCCCTCTTTTTCTATTTCCTGAAATAACTTGAAAAGTATTGGTATTAATTCTTCTTTAAAGGTTTTGTAAAACTCCGCTGTATACCCATCCGGTCCTGGGCTTTTCTTGGTTGGTAGTCTTTTGATTGCTTCTTCTATTTCATCCATTGATATTGGTCTGTTCAAATTGTGTGTATCCTCCTGACTCAGTCTGGGCAAATCATTTGACTTAAGAAATTTATCGATGTCTTCACTATCTTCTATTTTATTGGAATATAGGTTTTCAAAATAATTTCTAATTGTCTTCTGTATTTCTGTAGCATCTGTTGTGATATTGCCTTTTTCATCCCGTATGCTAGTAATTTGAGTTCTCTCTCTTCTTCTCTTCATTAGCATGGCTAAGGGTCTGTCTATCTTATTTATTTTTTCGAAGAACCAACTTTTAGTTTTGTTAATTTTTTCAATAGTTTCTTTTGTTTCAATTTCGTTGATTTCCGCTCTGATTTTAATTATTTCTTGCCTTCTACTGCATTTGCTGTTGTTTTGCTCTTCCTTTTCTAGGGCTTTGAGATGAAGTGTGAGCTCATTTATTTGTTGGTTTTTCCTTTTTTTGAGGAATGACCTCCAGGCGATGAATTTCCCTCTTAAAACTGCTTTCATTGTGTCCCATAGATTCCGATATGTTGTGTCTGTGTTTTCATTTATCTCTAAGAATTTTTTTATTTCCTCCTTTATGTCTTCTGTAACCCATTGATCATTCAGTAACATATTGTTCATTTTCCATGTGATGTAGGATTTTTTTCCTTCCTTCTTTTATCATTGATTTCCAGTTTCATTCCATTATGATCAGATAAAATGCATGGTATTATCTCCACCCCTGTATATTTACTGAGGGTTGCCCTATGGCATAATATATGGTCTATTTTTGAGAAGGATCCATGTGCTGCTGAGAAAAAAGTATATCCACTTGATGATGGTTGATATATTCTATATATGTCAGTTAAGTCTAGGTTATTGATTGTGATATTGAGTTCTATAGTTTCTTTATTCAACTTTTGTTTGGAGGATCTGTCCAATGGTGAGAGAGGTGTGTTGAAGTCACCCATAATTATTGTGTTGTGGTCTATTTGATTCTTGAACTTGAGGAGAATTTGTTTTATGAACGTCGCAGCACCATTATTTGGTGCATAAATATTGATAATTGTTATGTCTTGTTGGTGAATGGTTCCTTTTAACAGTATATAATTTCCTTCCTTATCCCTTTTGATTAACTTAGACTTGAAGTCGATTTTATTCGATATGAGGATGGCCACCCCTGCTTGCTTACGAGGACCGTGTGCATGGTATATTTTTTCCCAACCTTTCACCTTCAGCCTGTGTATGTCTTTTCCAATCAGATGTGTCTCCTGGAGGCAGCATATTGTTGGATTTGTTTTTTTAATCCATGTTACCAGCCTATGTCGCTTTATTGGAGAGTTTAAGCCATTAACGTTTAGAGTTACTATTGATAGATGGTTTGTACTTCCAGCCATGTTTGATTATTTATCTTTTTTTAAAATTTAGTTTGTTTCTCCATAATTAGCTTTCCCCCCGCCCTCTGTCTTTACCGAGGCACTTCCCACTGATGGTTTTGGTTATTGTTTTTCATTTCTTCCTCATGCAGTGTTTTGCTCAAGACGCTTTGCAATGCTGGTTTTCTGGCTGCAAATTCTTTTAACTTTTGTTTATCATGAAAGATTTTTATTTCATTGTCATACCTGAAGCTTAATTTTGCTGGATACAGAATTCTTGGTTGGCATCCATTGTCTTTCAGTGTTTGAAATACGTTGTTCCAGGATCTTCTCGCTTTCAGGTCTGTGATGAAAAATCCGTTGTTAACCTTATTGGTTTACCCCTGAATGTAATCTGCCTCCTTTCTCTTGTAGCTTTTAATATTTTCTCTTTGTTCTGTATATTGGATGTCTTCATAACAATGTGTCTTGGCGTTGGTCTACTGTGATTTTGTGTGCTCGGTGTCCTGTATGCATCTACAATTTGTATATCCGTTTTCTTTTTTATTTCTGGAAAGTTTTCTGTAATTATTTCATTCAGCAGGTTACTCATTCCCTTGGTTTGAATCTCTATACCTTCCTCTATCCCGATGATTCTTAAATTTCTTTTTTTTATGTTATCCCATATCTCTTGGATGTTTTTCTCGTGATTTTTTTACCAGCCTTTCTGAGTTGGCTAGACTCTTTTCAAGATGATATATTTTGTCTTCATTATCTGATGTTCTGGCTTCTACCTGCTCCACTCTGTTAGTGATACTCTCATTTGAGTTTTTAATTTGGTTTATTATTTCCTTCATTTCTAGAATTATTGTTTGATTTTTTTATTATCTCTATCTCCTGATAAAGATGCTTAACTTCTTTTATCTGTTTATGTAATTCATTTTCAATGTGTTCTTTCACTGTTTGAATTTGCTGTCTCGTATCCTCTTTAAGGTTCCATTCCATCTGTCTAAGGTATTCCTTGAGTTCTTTATATGACCATTTTTCTGATGACTCTAGGTCCTCCTGAGTATTTAGGCTGTCCTGCATTGTTTGTACTCCTTTTCTTCCTTGCTTCTTCATGCTGCTCATGTTACTTCTTGTTCTGTTTGACTGCTGAGTTACTGTTACTCTTATAAATTTATTTGATGCTTGGGAGGAAAGATATTAGAAGGGAAGGAATAGGTCACTAAAGAGAATGAGAGTAAGCAGGTAGAATTCAAAGAAGGGGGAATAAGAAAATTGAAATAAAAGACAAAAGAAAAAAAATAGCAAATAGAAAAAGAGAAAAAAAATTTTAAAAAAATAATAATAAAAAAATGAAAATTAAAATTTAAAAAATAACAATAATAAAATAAAAAATTAACAAAAAATTAGAAAAAAAAATTAAAAAACAACAACAAAAAAATGAAAATGAAAAAAAAATTAATAAATGCAGTCTTAGAGTTTGATTAACTTATCTTCCAGTAGGTGGAGCTGTGTCCACTGGGCCAAGCTTCTCCTCTCAATAGGTGGGAACCAATCACTGTGCAGCAGCTCTTCCTCCCAGACTGGGCGGGTCTCCAATCCTGAGTGCCTAGGGCCTTCTCTTGTGTCTAGTCACTTCCCCACTTTTCCTCAAGCCAGGCCCCACTCACTGGTGACGCTCACCACAATACTGGCTACACGCCAGGTCTGCTGCTCCTGGGAGCCCTGTTTTCATGAACGCCTGGGCACACTCTCCCTGTTTGCCATTCCCTCAGACCCTAAGTTTGTAGAGCTTGGGGCTGAGATCCCCCAGCGAATTTGCTTGCCCTCCGGTAGCAACGCCCCTGGTAGCTGGTGCAAGAGACCTCAGTTATCAGCACTGGTGGGAGTGGTAGCCGGGAGTTCCGCACCGCGAGTCCCGCGCCACTCCTGATTCCCTCAGTCTGGCTATCACGCTCACGGGACAGCTGGGAGGGGCCCTTAAGGTTTCCGCGCTGTGTGGAGAGGGATGGCTAGGGGATTACACACCTGTCGCCGCTGGTTTCAATGAAGTTATCTCCTCCGCCGCATTATGGTGACATCAGTTCTCTGCCATGGTGGTATCCCATGCAAATGGTGACAGTTCGTTCCCTTTGCCAGGTGACCAATGCAACGGGTGGGTCCTGACTGTCTCTCCCAAGCCCCGTTTCAAACCTGTGGCCACTGCCTATGAAGGCTCGGTTGGCTTTTACCTCCGTAAGTTCAGAAGGGCTGACCAGTTATTTCAGCCGGGTCGTTAGTGCTGAGTCACGGCAGTTTGGCTGCAAGAAGCAAGCGGACGGGAGCTTGAATGCAGCCGATCCAGGTTTGGTGTGTGTTCTGAGAGGCCCAGACTGTTCGCCCTAGATCCACGTCAGCTCAGCATTGCCTAGTGATCCTGAGCAAGCAGCATTTAGACAGTTTACGACTCCTTATGCCCGCGCAGCTGAAGAGGTCAGAGAGTTGATCTCTTGGCGCCCGTCGCCATGTTGGATCTCCTCTTTTTTGGTCTTTAATTGAGTTGAGCCTGATGCTGACTAGAAGTTGTAGCTATAATGCCTGTACTTTGGTGGCTAGGAATTCCCTCCCTAAATCCAGAAAGGAACGTCCACACACACAAGCCTTGGGTCATGGGGTGTGCCGAGGTACCACAGCCCCAGGTTGCCTTTTGTCTCCTTCCCAGACCATCATGATGTGCTTATTCCCCTTGGGAAATTCATTTGCAATACTCAAACATGCTCATATACTAGTGACCACTATGTATCCCTGCCAACTGACCTCATTACATGATAGAATTCCTGTTAACAATAATACAGAGGGGACTTTTCCCCCTGTGGCCTTCCCATGTTCTCAGACTTGCTGGCATAGGGTAGTTTGCTTAGCATGACTCTTCTCTGGTTTCAACCAGTAGCCTAACTTTGAGAATATAGAGTTATATACTCCTGTGTGTGCACACATATACTTTGCAGACAAATTAAGACCCAAGGTATCCTCATTAGAATAAGACATATTCCATGTTTGTATACATATGTTAAAATTGACTCTACTGTCATAAATAACTAAAAAAAATAAATTAATTTTATCACAAAAAAAAACAATAGCTAAGTCTTCAAAGTCTGATGTTTTAATCTGTTTAAAACCTCAGTGGATATTCTTTGTTCTTGGCTTTTTAAAAAAATGCAATGAAAAGAATGAGGTTGCAATCTTCATATCACTGATAAGAAATAGTTGTTTATTTAGTTTTACCTAGGAATGTCACCCAATAGCTGGATGTCTCTGAAAAAGTTTCTTAACTTTCCTGGATAGGTTTTATAATATGTAATTGGATATAATACATTTGTCACAGGGCTATTGTAAGAATGAAAACTGTGTCATAAAAAAAGAAAAAAAAAATTAAAGTTATTATTCCAAGCTATTATTCCCTGTAAGGACACATATAGCCCACCAATCAAATAATGTACAAGCTCTCCCAATGAATAATAGTTATTAAGATGATATTTTATGAATCTGGAAAACCATATATTAATATGAATAATTGTATTCAATTATCACTGCTTAAAAAGATACTTACAGAGCCAAATAGTCATCTTGCAAAGCTGCTACATTTTCACGAATTATTGTTGAATAAATATTCCATATTGAGTTAAGCCTTTTTAATAAATACTTCTATAAGCCACAAAGAAAATATACAGTTAGTTCTGACTCAGAATACTACATTTTTATTGTATTTCTTTTTATTTAAAAAGATATTAATAGAGAAGTTACATATTTCTTCAGAAATTATCCTTATTTATTATTAAATGTATAATTGTTTTCTTTTTAACTTTTTGGGTTCAGTTCCTCTTACATAAAAGTGGTTTATAATAATGCTAATGTTGTAGCTTTATTGTGAGGATTGAGTAATATAATGTCTATGAGCACACTACCTGGCACATGGTCAGAACTCAGTAAATATTAGCTATAACTAACATTTAATATCAACCAAAACATTTCCATATGGAGAAAATATATAAAAATGTAAAACAACCTTTCTACCTTATCATTTCGATGCCAAGTGTACATATATACATACACGTGTGTGTATATATATCATGTCTTTATATATAATAGAGTTTTTAAAGTTTTATAATATGTAAATGGATGTGATACATTTGCCACAGGTCTATCTTAAGGATATCATATCCTTATATACAATAAAGGTACCTTTATATGTAATAAAAATATTATATATATATATATATATATCATAGCCTTAATATATTTATATATATGTGTGTATATATATATATATATATATATGCTTATTTGGTTTTGCCTAGGAACTATATCATATCTTCAAAGTAATGAGAACTGATTTATGCCCTGGACAATCTAAAGCCCCGAATTGAAATAAAGTTCTCTGAGCTTCCAGCTCATAAATACAAGATTATGAAAGTTAGACAATTAGTAACATATTCCTAAGAACAAACTAAATGTTAATCATTGAAATTCTCTGAAGATAAGTATTAATTTTTTTACTTCTTTACCCATAACCAAGCATTAGATGTTATCAATAAGCCAACTCAGTCCCCAAAACAGTGCCTTTTGCCACTGGCCACCACCCCTATGCTCCACTAAGTTCCCACTAGTACTTTTGATACTAAAAAAAATCAACATCTAGGACCTGAGATATTTGTAATGCCACCCACAGAATGACCCAGAAATGAACACACTTTTTGACTCGCTGTGGCCCCTAAATATCAAAAGGGTGGCTCCCTGGCTCTTGCTTTGATTATACAGGTGCCATCCCATAAGTGACTGTTATTTAGGATGTAGCAGTGAAAATTCTCCTCTTTATATTCTGTCATTGATGGTGGCATATCATTTCTTCATTCATTAATTTAATTTCCCACTTTTTCTTCCTAATATTAAAAACAACTACAAAACTTTTATTCTTTCTGGAATATATTCCTCTGATTTTAAGTGTTGATCTGGTAGATGAAAGTATTGCAATTATAAAAACAGGGCTGTTAAAAAGACCTTGTGTTTACTTAACAAACTTAGAGAAATACTTTCTAATAGATACTGTCCTTTTCTATATGAAAGAAGATGCATTATTTCCTTCAGTTCTGGTTTCTTAAAATACACTGTCACCTTACCAAGAATGAAGTACCCTTGCAAATTTCTCTCATACTTATCTCCTAGACCAGCTAAGAATAATCAGCTATTACTAAGAAGACTATAGCTACATGGAATGAATTGACAATTACTTTGGGAAAGAGCTGTCTTTCAGATGCTGGCTAGAATATGGAAAAAGGAAGAGAAAATTTATTTTAAAACTACATAACATGGGCTAAGACGTGGCTCTAAGTAGAGTGCTTGCCTAGCATGTGCAAAGCCCTGGGCTTGATCCCTAGCACCAGAAAATAAAACTACATAACAAAGCATGAAATTACCTTTAATAATGGGTATGTATCATAGTCGTTCACATCAGAAACAAGATCCCTGGTTATCAAGTTTACCAAGACTTCATACCATACTATGATTTCATCTTCTTCAGCAAGGTACTTGGTTAAATCAAGTGCTGTTTCAATCTCAATATAATTGCTTCTGTTTGGTTTAAAAAAAACACACACACAGACACACACTTTCAAAAAACCTTCACCTGCTAAATGATTTGTACTGATTCCATATTTGTTCCGTGCTTCAATGCCTGACTTCAATAAGGTGTGTGAATAAATCAAAAGGCAAGAAGGTTACTTAAGATTCCATGTTACTAGTAAAATGAAACACAAGAAGTGTTGCCAGACTTTCCATTTCAATCTAGTACATTCATGCATCCAAACTGGAAGCTGTAGAAAGTCCAGGCCAAATGTTGGCTCAATTATTGGGCAAGAGAATATTAGATATCTATTGTGTGTTTTTATGAGAGTATATTTTCTATTCAATATATATAAAGTCATTATCTAATGCTCTGTCAGCTGCCAGTGGGCAATAATCCATAAGACCCTACGCTTGCCCACTGTTAAGAGCATTGGTGAGGAGCAGAAACTTGCTATTAGGTCCCGGGACAGGTGATGAATACCATAAAGTGGCAAAGAAAGAAGCATTCGCATGGAAAGGGGGAAATATGAAAAGAGAGGACAGTCAGAGAAGGCCTCATGGCTTTTTGGAAGAACTTGAGAAAACCACTGAAGGATGGGTAGAATTAAAATGGACAGAGAGAAGGAAGAAGACAGCCCAGGACAAAAGTAACATGGGAATTAGTGTGATGGGCAGACCAACCTAACAGAGGGAGGGAATTTCCTCTATGTGTGGTGAGAGGTGGAAACTAATAGGTGAGGTGGTTCAAACCCTCAAAGACCCTTGAATGTCAGAATGAAGAGCTTAGGTTTGGTGGGAAAGCACTGTCAATATTTAAGTAACTGGGGTAACATGATGCAATTGATGCCTAAAAATTTCACTGCTGCAGTGCTGACAAAGACAGAATGAAAAATTCAAAAGAACTAAAGGCCTAGAGCCTAATGAAATAGGTCCTAATGCAATAGGCCAGGCAAAAGATGCCAAAAATTTTACTTAGCATGAAGCAACTAAAGTTGTAAGGTAATAATCCAAAGGACACAACAAGAATGAATAAACAATACATACAGACCTGTGAAACATGAGAGCTGGAGAGCCAAAAGGAGAATATCTGTTAGGTTTCTAGTTTGAGTAATGAGAATAGTGGTATTCTTGACACAGGCATAGAAATTGATAGCAAGAGCATTTTGGAGATAGAAATAAAGTTCAGTGTTTAAATGACTAAAGGATAAACATAAGACAGGAGGAAAGCAAAGTTGATGTGTCAATTTAGAGCGTTTATTAATCATCATATACCATCTGGGTACTGTACATATATAAAATGGTCACTGAAATCATAAGAATGAATGAGCTATCCAAAGGAAAAGGAAGAAGATGACATAACCATGATTGGGCTTCAGTATGCTCACAGCAATAGGAAAAAGCAAAGTCAATACATGAGGAGAATTGGGTTTGCAAGTGGAGTCTCAGGAAGCTGAAAAGTTTTTAGGAAGTTGTAGTCAACAGTATCAAAGTCAGGGTGTCCTCAAAGAAGGTTTTCAGAAAGGTTTTGCATAAGGAAATTAGCTGCAAGTCACAGAGGGAAAAAGCAGCAAAGACATGACATCCTCAAGAAATATGACAGGACAAAGACACAGAGCATGCTAGATAACTTACTACATTATAGCCCTTAATTTTATTGCATGGAAATTTTAAATCTGTAACATATATTAATTAATTTACCTGGTTAAATACTTAGCAGTGCATCTTAATTACTCTGAATAAATATATTTAAAGTCAATAATTCTGCAATGCATTAATATACAAGCTAGATCTCATTAAAATTATACCTATAGTCATCACCTTTGGGTAAAGAAATGACTTCGAAATCTCAATTGATAGCCTATTTATTTTCAGCAACTCTTTCTGCTGTAAAATTCCAATATGACCACAGAAGTTGAAACTAATTCTAATCAGTTAAGTCATGTGTATACTAAAGAATAAACTCTTTGCAATGAGGCTATTATTTTTTATGAATTTTAGGTATACTCTAAAACAACTATGAGAGAAGTAAACATACTCACTTAGACAAGGAAAAAGCATCGTCAATCAACTGCAGTCTGTGAATAACAGGAATGGCCTGCAGAATAAGACCCAAATAGGTGAAGGGAAAGATGAGAACACTTTTAATAAAATATTTTTTAAAAAAATAACATTTTAAATATCATTGCTGCCTCCAAAGTATTTTCACATGAATTATCTCATCCACAAAGTAATTGCTAAGGACAATCCCCATCATTTATTCATTATACATCTATTTTTGATAAATGATCCCTCTGGACATCAATCATAATGTTAAAATATAGCAGAGAATTTTGCCAAAGTACTCCCTAAACATACCACATTAAAAAATAATAAAAAGGTAGCCATATTTAAAAGGCCTCTCTAAAAACAGAAAGCATACAATAAATTGTAATACAGTGTCCAAATTATGTTCAGGTGAGTTTTTGGCATGGGAGGACTTAAATAAATATTATTTCACACCACTTTGGTAATACCAAGGTATTCTGTCTTTTTAAGATTTTACTGATGTGTCACATAGCACCAACAGAGTCCCTTATATACATGAAAAGGTTGGTACCTTTGGCACTAACTGGTTAGCTTTTGTCCAAATTCCTTGGCATTACCAGGTCACAGGACTCTGAACTCAGCTTCAATACCCTCCAGGTGCCCAAAGCCTCCTACATCATTCCTTAAACATCTCCCAGCTCTTTGGCATATTTGGTCCTAGAAAATTTATCTTCACAACATTCCTCTGAGCATCAGAGCAAGCCAAGTTAAATTCTTCCCTCAGTAACAGTCTCATCACTTTTCTAGCAGCATTAATACTTATATTTTCTAGATGAATACTAATACTACAAAGTAGGATTTATTTGCTCACCAATTATTTTGTAGAAAGAATTTACCTCCATTTATCCATAAGTAAATCTATTACGGTTTCAAGAAATTATTGCTAAAATTACATAACCTAGTATTTTGTGTTGTAAAGTGCCCTTAGAAACTAATAAGAATTTAGCCACTTTGATAAAGATTTTTAAAGAAGATATTATTTTAAGTGGATTTTGTAAGTTTATTTAAAATCTTATTTAAAAAAAAAAGTACTGCAGGGTGTGCAGGCACATGCTTGTAATCCTAGAGACTCGGGAAGCTGAGGCAGGAGGATCTCAAGTTAAAGGCCAGCCTCAGCAACTTAGCAAGACCCTCAGCAACTTAGTGAGATCCTGTCTCAAAGTAAAAATATTCTTAAAAAATGACTGGGGAATGTAGCTCAATGATAGACTGACTCTGGGTTGAATCCCCAATATACATATTTTAAAAATTACTGAAATGTTCTGAAAACCTGACTTGTGGTTTGATCTTTGTTAAACATAATACAGGTATCAATTATTTAATCTCCACAGCAGCACTTTAAGGTTGGTATATTATACCCACTATACAAATAAAGAAATTGAGGTGCTGGTCAAAGAAGAGGTCCAAGTTCACACTTATGGTAAATGATGAACAAAAAAATATGAACATGAGTCTCCCTGACCCAGAACCTATGGGTCATCATGCCATATGGCTTCCTCAGGGAGAGAGGCTTATTGTGTCCTCACAGAATTTTTGAAAAGCAGACATTTAAGACATATTTTAATTCAACACTGCAGTTTTATAAATGGGATCTAAGTGACCTGTCCATGGTTCACAGCACATCACAGTAGAGCCAGCGGCATAGATCCCTAAGCCACCATCCATTGCTACTAGTGGAGATTCGGTTTAATTCAACCAATTAAAATCTATTTAATTTGAGATGTTCAACCTTAGTGTTTATGGATTTCATAGTGATTTCATAATGTAAAGTGATATTGGATCATTATTGCTGTTTTATGAATTAAATTCTGTCCTCTGAGGAAGCACATGAATATGTTTTCAGGAATAAAGTTAATATTTTCTAACATATATTAAGTAACTATATGGGCTTAGAAATTTTAAGTATTTTTAAACCTACATCATCTTTAATCCTCATGATAAATAAGACATAGTGATATTTCCATTTTAAAGTGAAGAAATGGAAGCAGAACATTTAAGTCACTTGCCACAGTTTGCAAAATTATTAGTAGGAAAATGTATTCTGATTTTCACCTGAAGGTAAAATTATTTTGGAAAAGCAAGACGAATGTTCAAAAACATAATGCATTCAACCAAAACCACCCCTTTTCTAAGAATAAGAAAAACAACCTCTTCAGTATGGCTGGAGGTGAGGGGTGGGAATAGGGATGGAGTCTCTTCCCATAAGAAAGCTCACCTTCTAAAGATGAGAGAGGACACCATGAACAGTACTTAATTCAAACTACCCAATATAACCTTACCTTAGGGTCCTTCACAAGCTGTTGACTTAATTTTTTCCAACCTAATTTATCATAATTAACTCTATAATAGCCAGTCATATTCAAATTTAAAATCACCCAGTCTTGGTCAGAATCTGAAACTTGCATTTCAGGGAATACTTCTACAAAAAAATATAGGAATAGTTTGAAATGGTACATTTACAAATTTTTTTCAATACATTTTTATATAATTCATTCGCAGTTCTAACAATAAACCTAACAAAAAATTTTAAAATTCAAATTATATATTGGTCTTACCATATAATTATATTTTTTTACATGTAATGGCTTTTAATTAAAACTTTTCCTTAAAGTTCTATGTTCTACAAGAAGGATACATTTTAGTTCTAAATGAGGCCTCAAAAGCCAGACATTTGAACATCTTATTCACTGCCTTTATATATGTGTATATATGAAGCTGTTTTTTAAAATTTGCTACTTACTGCTGCTTTTGTCTAGCCAGACTAAAGATTGTGGAGCTCCATTTTTTATCCAAAGAATAGGGACAATCCATGTGTCACTTTGGGGAAGAAAAGCAAAAAATTAGTTGATTTTAACACATAAGAATGCACACTCTGAGCCAATATTAAAGACATGATAAAATAGCAGACAGAACTGGAATTCTTCGCTCATTCCCTCTGGACTTTTTGCTCATAGGATTATTTGCTAATGTTTTTACAAATAGCCAGTTTTGCTTTGGCTATTTGCTCACTCCCCTCTCTTATTGTGTCTTACAGATTTATTCTTACAGTGTAGGTAGCTCCTAAGACTGTTTTATATTTGCTCCCTTCAAGGCCAATTTATGTGAAATTAAGACCACCTGGCCTCTCTCAAGGGCATTCAAAGGCTGTACACAGACCCAAATCAGTCCATGCCCAGAGGTGAAGGATAGTTTAAGAAAATGCTTAATAAATGTTTAAAAATACTTTTTAGTCTCTATCTCTCTCCCCATCTGAAATATGCTCAACAGAAATCATCCAGGACATTTATATTTGTTGGATCCCTACATTTTTTTCCACATTGGTGGGTGTGACCCAGATGAACCTGCTGACCACAGGGAGCTCATTAGTCATCTGAAAAGACACATGACTTGGACGTTGGGCAGCATTTCCAGTCTTGCTCAAATTTTCACATGCCTGGTCTCTCAGACTTGCAAGTGTAAGTATGTGTTTGGTTTTTTTTTGCAGAGTTAAGACTTCCCTCTCTTTCAAAGGCACAGAATATTACAGTGAGAAACAGCCCTCAGTTCTCCTGTTTTCTTTCCCCTGGGGTTTTAACGAAGGAGTAGGACAACCTGAAAATTTTGGTGATGGTATTTGAAAACTGATTATTCATTTGTGCTGATATCTACTATAATAAAATGTGAAAACCAAAACTATCAAAAACAGTTGAAAATTAACAAATTAAGAAAGGTAAAAGAGGGGAAGGAGGAAGTAATGAGTTCTGGGCAACTACTTGATATTTCATTTTTTTACAACACTTCTCTAAGATGTGTCAATACATTTATTTTATAGATAAGGGAACTGAAACTCAGTTTTATGGTTTTTATTTTGTTTTTACACGGTGCTCTGTCACAAAGCTATATCCCCAGCCTTTTTAAATTTTATTTTGAGATAAGGTCTCTCTAAGTTGCTAAGACTGGTCTTGAACTTGCAATCCTCCTGCCTCAGCTTCCTGAGTTGCTAGGATTATAGGTGTGTGCCACTGTGCCAGTCAGAACGTCTAAACAAGATGAACCTACGATTTGAATTTTGGTGAGATCAGTGTTCCACGCAGGTCTAACTGCATCTAAAGGCCATAATTCCTGTGGCACTATCTTATTGCCTTTCACCCAGAATCTAAAGTATTCATTACCTCTATCTAAAAGACTATGAGCAACATATAACACCCCAAAGCCTTGGTCACTGGCATGGCTCTAAATCCCAGGAGAGGGACATGCTTTGGGCCCCTAACTGCAGATCTCCAGCCTTGCTCAGGACTCTGGGGCTCTGTCTCACCCTGGTACACAGTGGCATCCTATGTAGAGTTCCTTTGCAGTAGGCCATGTGCCCATCAAGGGCTATGCTTCCTCCCCACTGGCTGGTTTCCATTCCATCAGAGCTCAGCCCAAGGCAGGTGAAGACAAAGAGAAGCAAAGTTACCTACTTGTGAGCTTGAAGAATCTGATTTTCAGCCTTTCCAAGATAAAATGGTTCCTGTTTCATGAAACCAGTAGACACATTCAAAGTGACGACTGGAAAACCACCCCGGTGTGTCCAACTGTCCATTATGGTTTTTACTGTTGCTGGCAAAAGGATCTCACTCTGGTTATCTATGGCCTGGTTTAAAAAAGATCATCACAAATGCAGACACAGTTATCAGCAAAACTTTTTGAAGTAGCAATCTTCTAAAAGAAATGCAGTAGCTATGCTAGTCATCATCTACATAGTAATCCCCAGTGATCTGGGCCAAATTCAGAACACTGTTTATTTCTTTACAGTTATCCTTTGGCATGAGGGGGATTTGTTCCTAGACTCCTGGAGATATCCAAATTCATGGATTCTCCTGTCCCTTAAATAAAACAGAGTAGTGTTTGCATGCAACTTATGCACACCTTCCTGTATACTGTAAATTATTTCTATACTACCTATTGGGATGTAAAAACTATATAAATACAGTGACTGTTATACTGTATGATTTAGGGAACAATAACAAGAAATAAAGTTCTGTATATGTTCAGTACAAGTCCAATTTTCTCTAATATTTTGCATCTGGGGTTGGTTGAATACAGAGAAGTGACTATATATGAGTGGTTACATACTTCATTTATTCATTCATTTACAGAGTACATATTTATGAATCTAGTTTGTGCTCTGTTTTGGGCATGAGAATACAGAGAAGACTAAAGACACAATTCCAATTCCTGACCTAAGGGAGTTTCACAATCAAGGCAAAATTGCTTTTCTGTGAAGCTGCCATTGACCCCTGGCCTCCCAATCTTGTACTATAACAGACAAAACAACCCAGTAAGAAAGTATCCAAAAGTAGGATGATTACCATTTGAAAATGCCTCCATAGATCATCTTGCTCAGCATTTGAGTAAGAAAACATCTTCAAATATGACTGTAAAAATAGGGAAGTTAAGGTTGAAAAATAGCATGCCTTAGCTATATGTGTTTGCTGTCATCCAGGTAGCAACTGGTCTGCAAACTCACCTTAAGTGCATTGATAAATAAATGCTCATTCAGGAAACTGGAAAGCATCCGGGCCATAGATGCTCCCTAGGATGTAAGAAGCTGTTCATTATTTGCACAAAATTCAATATCTACATACTGACACATTGCATTTTAAAAAGCGATATTCTGGGCTGTGTTCCTGATCGCATTTTGTACTTTAACTGAAGGCTTGAAGTATCCCTAAATATACTGATAAAATAGTAGTCTGTCACTAATGAAGAAGTAAACAGTGAGCTAGTGTACTACATATAAAAAATTGAGGGTACACTAAAATTTTTTGATTCAGGTATTTATATGTAATAATGTATTTCTCAGACAGAATGATCTGTCTTTATAATAATCTATTTATGATGATTTTCAACCTTTCCAAGATAAAATGGTTCCTGTTAATATTTTCTAAGTTATAACTAATTTGACTACATTTTCTGAAACCCATTTATTCAATAAAATTAAGGATATTCATATCAAAAGTTTTAAGTTTCACATTAATCTACAAACCTTAGAATCCATTTTATATAACTTTCTGCAAGAACAGAGGAAAATATCTAACTGCTTTTACCTTGTTGTATGTAAATAAGTCAAAGAGCTCATTTATGTCACTTGTTTCTGTGAAATTTTCCACCTTCATGGATACAGCTCTAGACACCAGGGCATGATCTTCTTTGAGGACACCATGTAAAAAGTTAGAAAAAAAGACCTCATTCTATAAAGGAAAAGATTAAGCCACATTAACTTCTGGGGTGTCATAGAAACACAAAATTAAATGGTCCTAAAACACTTCCAAAAACTTCTATTGAAGGAGGAAAAAAAAGAGAAGCATCTGTGAATCATAGTAGGCCTAGAGTCATAATTCCTTGAATAACAAAACTATAGGAGACTTCCCTTCCCATTTTATACCTTGTTGTATTTAAAGAATCATTATAAAGTTAATGTGGTATCTAAGAGTTGTGTACATTTCCCCTAAAGAAGCCCATGGCTACTTGCCAGGGCCTTCCAGAGAACAGCATTTCTATGTAGTTTCAATCCTCTGGAATTTGATTGGTAATTATATTAGTGATTCCTTAAAATTGATCAGTCTCTCTTACATGGACATTTACAAAGCCAAAAGTATACTAAATTTGTAAATCTGCAAGGATGTAGACATAATAACTTACAATTGGAAAGAAATCCATAGGCATTTTGAGAAGGCAGTTTATTATATTTTAATGAGAATCGCAGAAATCTCCTAGAGACTCTATCACACATAACAAGGACAACCTCTCTCTGATGTAAATCTAGGAAGGAAACCGAAATCATGGACAAAGGGGGATATGGGATGACAAAAAACAGAGAAAAGATAATGGAGAAATTAAACAGACAGTTTGTTCATAACCTGTAGAGCAGGTCAAGCCCCTGGTAAGGCCTCAAATCCCTACTGTCTTTGGGCTCTCCAAGTTTACTGTCTCACCCCTTGGGATGTTATCAGATAATCTTTCAAATTGTGTTCTATGTCCAATGTTCTGATCAACTCTTTCCTATTAAATAGCAGTTAATTTTAAATTAGTAATACTATTGATTAGGCCATTATCAGACTCTCTCTTCCCCAAATGAGAAAGCCAATCACATAGAGTAATGTGTCTCAAACTTTTTTTTTTCCTTCCCAAATGGAGTCTCACTCTGTTGCTCAAGCTGGCCAGGAACTTGCAAACCTTATAATTTAGTCTTCTGAGTAGCCTGAATTATAGGTATGTACCACTAGGCCCAGCTAGGTATCAACTTTTAATGTAAATAAGAATCACCTAGGAATTTCATCCAAATTATGTTCTAACTCAATTGGTCTGGGTTGACACCTCCATTTCTTATAAACTACCTGATACTACTGATATTGCTAGTTCAAGAATCACAGTATCAAGAATTTAGAGGAAACATCTACACAGGTCTGCTCCTATTTATTAAGGATAATGAGAATCGCAGAAATCTTCTAGAGACTAGATCTCTATCACACATAACAAGGACAACCTCTCCCTGATGTAAATCTAGGAATGAAACCAAAATCATATGCAAATAGGTTGTATTGGTTTAAACTCAAGAGTTCTTGAGAGTTTCTGTTGACCCAAGTGTCATATAAGCACAACATAGAAAATAGTGAAAATAAAAAATACCCATAATCTCACACCCAATATAAGCATAACTACAATGTTAGTATAATTCTTTCCTATCTTTTTTCCTATATATTGATTCCCATAGTTGTAAAAACTTTTATATTCTACTTTACTTATCATATCATTTTAAAATTTCACTACCTCATCTTCATAATTAACTCTTATAAGGACCGCTGCATTGTAAGTGAAAGAGAAATGTAAACTTGAAAGAAATAAGTCAAATATAAGAAGCAATTCTCACAGGTGGTCAAGTCAGAGGTGAACTCCTTTTTTTTCAAAGTTTATCAAACAGAACTTTTGCAAAAGCTAAATAAGAAAATAAGTAAACATAGCTATTGGTACAATGGACCATAATTGACTTAATCATTCCCCTGTTATTAGAGATTTGCGTTGTTTCTAGCTTTTGCTGTTATAACCATTTTAATGAACGTTTCTATACTACATGTAACCTTTTCCCTATTTTGTGGGGCTTCCTCCCCTCAGAATGAATTGTCTCTGTCTCTTTTGACTGCCTTGTATAAGGTTTTACATAATCTTTAAGGTATCACTGTGACCACCCAAGATAACTGTGATGCACTGTATGTAATAATTAGAACATGCTCAATAAGTGTTCCACTGCTGTGATTATTTATCATCATTGTCATCATCATCATCATCATTTCTTCAGGGTTGTTCTGAGGATTGGATGAGATAATGTATATAATAATCTGTAAGCATATAATAGAGAGCTTAGTTGATGATAGCTGTCAATAAAAGGACACACTAAATGCTCAATAATCTGTTGAATGGCAGCATGAAACCCATTTAAACTCAGAGGCATTCAACAGTGTGCCTCAGCTTACAATAGTAAAGACAAACAAGATCTGCCACGTTGCAGAGTCCTCCACAGATCGGCTATTTCCTTAGACCAAGAAGAAGAAGAAAAGTCACTGAGTGACAATGTCAGAGCTGGAGCTTTGGGAGCCAGGAAACCCTTGGTACTCAATGTTCTGAACCCTTGACCACGACCCAGTCACATCATGCTTTAATGACTTGCAGCTGAAATTAGACCAAGATGTAGAAAAAATTAAAATGTTTCTGCATATGGTTCTGTGATTCCATTAGTCAATTTCAATCAAATTACTAAATTAAATGGAAGCCAAAGTTCACAGTCTCCAGAGAAAAAACTTAAGCTTTTTAATCACAAAGCTCATGGCAATTTCCTCAAGTGCCAAGATCTGATGTTCTTTTGGCAAGAGTTATACTCACTCCATTCCACAAGTTATTGAGAAATATAGACCCAGAAAAAGAGTGATTAAGAAACCAATGATTAAAAAAAATCAACTAAATGGTGCAATTTTAACTTCAAAATTACCAATAATAAGTCTTCATCAAGTTTGCCAGAATCTGGTAATATCTAGCCAGTCTGGTTGCATTAAGAGGTAACTGAATTGATGTTAATGATCCATTCACTTAAGAAAAGAAAGGGTGGGGGCTGGGGTTGTGGCTCAGTGGTAGACCGCTCGCCTAGCATGTGTGAGTCACTGGATTCGATCCTCAGCATCACATAAAAAAATAAATAAACAAAATAAAGGTATTATGTCCATCTACAACTTTAAAAAAGTTAAAAAAATAAGAAAGGGTGAATTTCATTGTCTGATGGGAATGAAACTGCATTATTGATTTAAGTGCAGTTAATCTGGGATATAACCAAATGCTTTTGAAAAGTTATAAATAACATTAACCATGTGTGATTCTATTTCATAAAAGAATTACACACACAATTTTGTAGGTACACTTGAGTATATTGAAAGGATTTTTGAAGAAAAGATTTACTCCATGTATGCAAAGTTTATATGTAGAGTAAAAAGTCAAAATGAACACACACACACACACACACACACACACACACACACACACACTGGCTCCCTGAGATTAGAAACACTTTCGTGTGCTCTCCCTGAAAAGCAGTGTGGTTGAAAGCCTGGGAGTTAACAGTCCTGGCACTGAACCTCAGACCTTGTAACTTGATGCTTGATGCATCAGTTCCTTCATCTGTAAAATAGAAATAACAACTACACTCACATATGTGTTCTGAGAATTAAATAAGATGATGTATGTATAGAACTCTCAGTGCTTTACACTGATATTCTGGGTATCTAGGTGAATGCCAAATTCAATTTTATTATTGTTATTACCACATTATTCTAGTTATTATTATCTATTTATTATTTTAGTTATACTTATCAGCCTAGGCTCAGACAACTGTGTTGTAAATACAGTTCTGTTCAGTTAGTAAAACAAGCTTAGGAAAGTCATTGAACATTTCAGTCTCCTGTTCTATATAATAACATCTAAACTCCTTTTTCAGGACAACAGGGCCTGTGCACAGTGCAGGGGAGGAAAGAGGAGGCACTGCAGAGTGACAGGGCCGGGACTAGGGGCAGCTTTCAGAATGCAGGATGTATGGCCTGGAAATGGGACATTAAGAGGTCTCTCCACCTCAGAACTTCCCAAACACTATGATTTCACAAACAGGGAAAAGGAATTTTTAAAAGTTTTTATGAGTCAAAATAGGTTTTTCAATTTTTTATTCTGCCAAACAATCAACAGAAACAAATATCTACTATCACCATCTTTCATAAAAGAAGGAAATTTTACTACAAAAATAATGCAGTTGGCCCTCCATACCCATGGATTCCTCACCAATGGATTCAACTAACTGTGGATCAAAAACATAGGGGGGAAATTGTGTATGAACTGGATACATACAGACTTTTTTTTCTTCTAATTATTTCCTAAACAATATGGCATGACAACTACTCACATAACATTTGTATTGTACCAGGTATCAACCAGAAACCTAGAGATGATTTCAGGTATTGGGGAACATGTGCTTAAGCTATATGCAAATATTACACTGTTTCATATAAGAGAAATCTACAGACTTTGCAATGTGAGGGGTATCCTGGAATCACTCTCCCAACGAAAGCTGAGGGACAACTGTAGAAAGAGCATAATCTTAGAATCTTCTTTATAATGAATAGACTTCACTTGTAAAAAAGATCTGGTGAGTGGAAATCAGCATCTCAAGTATTAATAAGCAGTTTGAATGAGTGAGGGTAGGAAGAAGAGAGAAGAGGTCAAGATTTGGAACAATGAGGAGTGAGATGACAGAGTAGCTAAGCAAGAGTAGCAGGAAGGAGCAACCCCAAAGACCAGAGAAGTGACAGGAGGCAGAAACCAAGTAGGGATGTGGGTATCGGGAATGCAAGCCAAGAAAAGAACCTCTGCTTTGCTTGAGAAGAGAGGTCTATATCAACAGATAACATTATATCTAAATATTTAAATATCTAAATCAAATCAAGTCAATTTGGCTTTTTCCATGCCATTCTAAAAGCACTACCTAATTACTACAACTAAACATCAGAAATAAAAGCTATAGTTGAAACCATCAGGCTTTCATATCTATAAATTTTTTAAAATACATACTACTCTTTATTCCAATCCACAAAGCAATATCAACAATAGTATTCTACAAGAGTCACAATAATTAGCATATCACTTATCTTTAAGGCCATAGACTACAGATTAAAACTGCTTTAAAATTTAGTCTGGGTAGTGTTATTATAGGCCAGGCTAGGCAATGACCAAACAGACTCCATTTTACCCTGAGACTCCATATCATGTAAGAAATGCTTCTCCCATGGGAAAGCTCCAACTCTGTACCCATTAATAGTTACCTAGCAATTCTTATATAAAAATTGTTCTCTTTGCTTTCCATATTTCTTGGGCAATTTACCTTTTCAGAGATTAATTGTCTAGGCGTTAGTAACCATTCTCTAACTTGTACTCAACTAGGGTCATTTTGATCCACTTCCTTTCTGCTTACTTGCTGCTATGCCAACCTGGAAAGTCCTGTGGGAAATACTACTATATAATAATACCATTGCATTGTCTCATTAATTGCCCAATTCAGCTCCTGTACTTGCTTGCTTACACTGGCTAAACCCCCAAACGTCCCTCTTTCGGTTTTTTGGCTTAAATATGAGGCCAACTGAAGGCGGGTACGTCACTCTGACCATCTCGCTTTTTAGAGAATAGAGTGTCTGCTGCTGGCCAGCAATAAAGGCTTAATTGGAATGGCAATGTGTGGTCTGAGAGTTATTTGAGAGTCTCGGTATCGGTATAACAGTAAAAATAAGTGAAAATAACCAAAACCTAATAAAAGGCAAAGATTATTTGCAAACATGTTATAAGATGAAATGATAAAATATTAGGCATCCATTAAAATTTTTTTCTTATAAAAGAATTCAATGATGTGTAGAAATTCTCATGATATAAAATGGAGTAGAAAAGCATTATGAATTTCTAGGTAATTCCAACTTCAAAAAATATTTAAACAGGTAATTCCAGAACAAAAATATATGAAAAAGATAATATGGATCACCTCTGATATCAATATTAGTAATTTAATTTTTATATTTTATATATTTTCAACAATGAATATGCTTTAATTATAAATTAGGAGAAAATTTTAAAATAAATTTAACAAACATACTTACTCTTGGAAGTTTAGGATTGAAGTAGTTAATTATTCCAAACTCAAAATAAGATGCAAAACCCTCATTGAGCCAGATATTGTTCCACCAATTCATGGTAACCAAGTTTCCAAACCACTTTTGGAGATGGGAGAGAAAAAAGAGCTTTCTTAAATTTAAGTTATATTTATTGTAATTGCATGTTAAATAAATGCAAGTTCAAAAAGACATAATTAAACTTTATTTGCTATAAATAACAAAACTTGAAAACAGGATTCCAAAAAGCAGGCATTGTTTTAGCATGAGATACAAGTCATGCATTTCTCTTTTGTAATTATTTTCACATCCAATGATTGAAAGCAATTTTTGTTTTCAAACTGTAACATTTCTTAAACTGTTCACATTGCCCAAAATTATTAGGTTTAGTTAAATGAAGCAGAAGTCCTGACTGCTGAGTTACCACCTAGTAATCCTTGCACATTATACTCTAAACAGGAGTTCATTGTGTTATGTTTTAAAACACGACTTGATCTATGCCACATACAAATCATTCAAGTAATCATATGTTATGCAATGTGGTCTGCTGTAATTATTTTCTATTTGAACTGAACAGAAAAAATAAGTGTGCATTTTGAACGGAACTAAGAAAGAAAAACAATAATTTCCAAAACCAACAATGCACTGGGATTTAACCAGAGTTTTGTAATAACTGTTAGCAGCCTGTATTCAAAAACAGAATGCAACTTAAGGTATAATAAAAAAATGACACTTGTGATGACTGATCAAAGCCGGTGAAAGTGTGTGTGTGTGTTGATTATACACTGGGGTGTTATTCAATCCTAGTAAATTGCTCTTTTCCAAACTTCTTATGGAGCCACATCACTAAGAAGTAACACTTCCATGCTTGAGATGATTTCTTTCTTGACAAATGCATGTAAATGAAATAGACTGAAATGCAGATGTGAGAATTTCCACCAAATCCAAGGGCTAACCTTCTAAAATCACAATGTGAAAGAACACTGATCTAATAAAGTAAATGTTTACACTGCCTTTGCTGATGCAGCTAGAGGATTAATTATTGCTCTCCTCACTAATATGTTGCCTGTATCCATTTAATCTCTTTCCAAAGTAAAATTAAGTAAAAGTTTGAAACAATTCTTTGATAAAATGTGTGTATTTTTAGCGACCCTTTTGGGTATCCTGTATTTTAAGATAGAATGAAAAACAAATACTCAGAGCTCTGTATGGCTTCTTTCTTTTTTTTTTTTCTACTAGGGATTGAACCCACGGATGCTTTGCCACTGAGCTACTTCCCCAGTCCTTTTTATTTTTTATTTTGAGACAAGGTTTCACTAAGTTGCTGAGACTGGCCTCCAACTTGCAATCTTCCTGCCTCAGCCTCCCGAATCACTGGGATTGCAGGTGTGAACCATTGTACCCAAATGCTTATTTTCCTTGAAGAAGACTTTGTGGATCAGTTATCTCTGAATGTAAATCCTTACCCCTTGCCTGGACTTGAGGCCTCATCACTATGGTCCATCACCAACAGCCCAAGTCCAGCTGGAATCCCACTAAGCAGATCCTTCCTTGATTTTACTCACTGTCACATTTTTTAAGGTTTTTTAAAAAATGTTGTGTGGCAGTGTTTTTGTTTTATGCTATTTTTGGTAGAGCAGCTGGAGAATACCTCCATGTGAAATAAAAAAAAAAAAAAACATTTTACCACATGCCTGGTGTCCAATCTCATGGGAGAGAATGTAGGAGATCAGAGTCTTTTTCTCGGTCAGTTGATCACTTGGTAGCAGCAACAATAATGATTCATCAAACATCAGTAGTCCCCAATTTTCCATTGCACGGTTGTCAAAAACAGGCAACGCAATTAAATCTAAGTGGATTTAAGTGGAGGAAAAAATGAAATCATCCCCTCCAAAAAAGGTTAAGATTTTAGCTATAAATTATCTTAACATGAAATTACAAAATTACTGAAACTTACAAGAGAATATTTATAACCTGAGGGGAGAGAAGGCTTTTTAGAGAGTAACAGCAAAGACAGAAAATAAATTGTTTTGATTATATAACTATTTTGATGAAGGATGGATTCAAATATACAAAGAACTCTTAAAACCCCAAAATAATAAAACAAAATGGGGAAAAGATCTGGATAGACACCTCACTTAAGATGATACACAAATGGCAAACAAACATGTAAAGATGCTCAGCATCATTTGTTGTTAAATATGTGTACATGAAAATGAAAATGAGATACCACTATGCAAACTGGGGTTTGACCAGAATTGGGTAATTAAATGGCTACTACAATGGCTTAAATCCAAAACACTGGCAAAGCAAATTCTGGCAAGGATGCAGAGCATCAGGAACTCTCTCCTCTTTGCTGGTAGAAATGCAAAAAATTATACAGTCACTATGGAAGACAGTCTGGTAGTTTCTTTAAGAAGCAAAATATAGGCTTACAGTAAGATTTAAGGATTGCATTCATAGGTATTTACCCAAATGAGCTAAAAACTTACATTCACACAAAAACATGCACATAAATGTTTACAGAAGCTTTACTCATAATTGTAAAAATTGGAAGCAACTAGAATGCCCTTCAGTAGGTGAATGGATAAACTGGTACATTCAGTATTATTCAACACAAAAAGAAATGAGCTACAGAGCTATGAAAAGATATGCAGGAAACTTAAGTGCACATTGCTAAGTACAAGAAGCCAGTCTGCAAAAGCTAAATACTGTGTGAGTCTAAATATATGATATTTTGGAAAAGGTAAGATAATAAAAACAGTAAAAATGTCAGTGGTTGTCAGCGATCCAGAGAAAGATGAATAGGTGGAGCATGGGAGAATTTTACAGCAGTGAAACTATTCTGTGTGATATTATAACAGTAGATACACATCATATACACTTGTCAAAACCCAAGGAACTATACAACACACTTCAGCTAATAATACTGTACTAGCATTGGCTCATCAATTGTCACAAATGTACCACTCTAATTCAAGATGCTAACAATAGAAGCCCATAGTGAGAAAGCGAAGAAGAGGGGAGGTATGTGGGAACTCTCCACAATTTCTGCACATTTTTTCAATAACCTAAAACTGCTTTAAAAGTAATTTAAGTTTAATATTGAATGCCTTAGTTCATCAAAAATAACTGAAACAAATTTGAATGACAAACCACAAACTAGAAAAAATATTTATAATATATACCACACACACACACACACAAAAAAAAAAAAAAAACTAGAAAGTGTGTGCGTATGGGTGTGTATGTTTATGAGGGGAAGGGAATCTGTCAGAAAAAAAAGAAAAAACATACTTAGGAGGATGAGGTCCAGAAGTTCAAGACCAATCTAGGCAACAGAGCGAGACCCCATTAAAAAAAAAAAAAAGGCCAGGCATGGTGGAGCACACCTGTAATCTCAGCAACTGGGAAGGCTGAGGCAGGAGGATCACAGATATGAGACCAGCCTCAGCAATTTAGCAAGGCCCTAAGTAACTTAGTAAGAACCTGTCTCAAAATAAAGAGAGAGAGAGAGAAAGAGAGAGAGAGAGAAAGGGGGAGAGGGAGGGAGGGAGGAAGGAAGAAAGGAAAAAAGGGCAGGTTTGGGATATGGCTCAGTGGTAAAGTGTCCTTGGGTTCAATCCCCAGTACCAAAGTAAATAAATTAATTAAAAGAATAAGCCTGATTTGATGGCTTATTACACCTGTAATCCCAGTGACTGGGGAGATTGAGGCAGAAGGACTGCAAGTTCAAGGCCAACCTTGGCAATTTGGCAAGAACCTATCTCAAAATAAAATAAAAATGATTGGGACTGTAGATCAGAGGTACAACCCCACTAGGTTCAATCACCAGTCCCACAAATAAATACATGAATAAAAATAAAATAAAAAGAACAATTCACCAAAGAAGTCACTTAAACAGCCAAGATCTTATTTAAAATGCCCATCTGATTAATTATTTAAAAATCAAAAGTTAGGGGGCTGGGGTTGTGGCTCAGTGTTAGAGCACTTGCCTGGCATGTGTGAGGCACTGGATTCAATTCTCAGCACTGCATATAAATAAATAAATTAAATAAAGGTCCATCAACAACTAAAAAATGCATATTTAAAAAAACCCAAAAGTTAAAAGGATATACTATAATACTTTCAAATGTACAAGATTAATAATTAGTGTTGATGTATAAGAAAACTGGCACCTAAGCTGATGGGTAAAAGTGTCAAAAAGCACAATCTTTCTGGAATAATCTGGCAAAATGCCTCATAATCTTTAAAAAATGTTTATAACTTTTGACTAAACCATTCTACTTTTGGAATTCATACCGAAGCAGATAATACAGATATATGCTAATATTTCCTTATAAGGATTTTATTTAGTGTTTTCAAGGTAGCCAAGGTTAAATCAATCCAAATGTTCAATCACAGAGGGTTAAATAAATTACTTTGTTAAATTAATGTGTAGGAACTCTATGTTTGAAAACAATAATATAAAAGAATGTTTTGGGAAGGGGATGTGGCTCAAGCGGTAGTGCGCTCGCCTGGCATGCATGCGGCCCGGGTTCGATCCTCAGCACTACATACAGACAAAGATGTTGTGCCCACCGATAACTAAAAAATAAATATTAAAAATTCTCTCTCTCTCTACCCCTCTCTACCTCTCTCTCTCTTAAAAAAAAAAAAAAGAATGTTTAGTTATTTGGATCTTGTTCCTGTGTACCGTTAACTTAAACAAAAAAGGAATTCAAAAACAGTGTCAACTCTATGGTGCCATTTTCATTTAAAATGCAAATAGAAAGAGATCAAGACTGACTGATAAAATATAAACCAAAATATCAGTCATGGTTTTACATCTGCCTGACAGCATTACAGGAGACATTACTTTTCTTTTTTGTGCTTTTCTATTTTCTTCCAAATTTTCTACATTGTGATTATTTATTACTTATATTTATAACTAGAATAATAGATGTTTTTGTTTTCTTTTTCTAATGGAAGAAATGTCATTCTTCTAGTCCACGCTACCTTTGTTAATGAACATGCTAAATTGTGCTATGCTGAATATTTAAGTTGAGTTTACACCCATGAGGAGGAGTGTGTAGCCAAGAGCCCCATAGTCCATTGCTTAGCACCTCCATTGCTCAGCGGGCCATGGGCACAGTTGGTCTTTAGCTACCTCCACCTCAGTTATTCTTCCTACTACCTGCACCCACACCCATCCCACCTACCAACCCACCCACTTCTCTCACAAAAAACTGCTCTGCTCCAGCCAGCCAACCCAATCCCTCTTGCTCCCCACAGTCAGAGTCTTTCTCTGCTCATGTTGTCTGCTATCCCAGGAAATCCTCTGTCCAATCTGTGAATGTTATTGAAATCTGTGGTCCAATCGTCCAATCTCACCAGCTCTAAGAAGCCATTTCATACTTCAGCTGCAGTTAGACTTAAGAGAAATCCTTGTTTCCCGATAAACTAACATTCATTCACACAGGACCCTGTTTTACTTGACTCAAATGATCAACTCATTATTTTAATAATATAAACATGCGTGCATTTACCACTCAACCCTTCAAATAGAGGGTGTCAAGCTATATGTTTTCCATCACATTTTATATTTGCCATTCCCTTACTTTAAAGAAATATTATCATGTATGTATGTATATATATATTTATACATAAATATATAGTTTAGTTTTGTAACAAAATTCAGAGTAGTTGAATAAGTGCTTTATTTTCATTGCTATACCAATTTTACATAATGGAAAATTGCACCATCATTTATTCATCATTTCTCCTATCAATGACTATTTTGTTGTTTTCATTTTGGGGTTATTATAAAAAGTACAGCTATGACTTTTTTCGGTACCAGGAATTAAACTCAGGGGCACTTAACCACTGAGCCACATCCCCAGCCTTATTTATTTATCTATTTATTTATTATTTTAAAGCAGGGTCTTGCTAAGTTGCCTAGGGCCTCCCTAAATTGCTGAGGTTGTTGATCCTTCTGCTCAGCTTTATGAGCCTCTGGGAGGCTGGGCCACTGTGCTCAGCTAGCTATGAATAATCCAGTTGACATCTGCTAGTACATGTGTATTTAGATTTCTCTTAAGGATTTACTTAGGAATGTTATTCTAATGTCAATACTGAAAGAGAATAAATATGCTTTAAATGGTTGTAATAATTGATACTCTCATTAAGGATACTGCATCTTCTCTAACAGTTGCCACTTATTAAAATGTTTACTTTCTGACAACCGAATATAAAATGATGCTTCACTGTGGCCTTGGATATTCATTTCTCTGATTACTAATGGAGTAAAACATCTCTTCATAAATTTATTAGCCACATATACTCTCTTTTCTTTTCATCTAACTTGTTTTTCTGTTGGGTTGTATTTTCTTACTTATTTGTAGATGTTTATATATTTGGGACACTTCAATTACCATTTCTTCATCCTCTTTCTCTTAAGACTCTTATTTGCCTAATACTCTATCTCTTGCTGATATAATTTGTTACTTGTGTTTCTGACATGTAGAAGCTGCTTCCCCAACTCTGTTTCTTGAGCAGAGCCCTACCCACCTTCTGTTTTTATGTTGACTTGGCACCTAGGGAAGTAATTGTTATTTTCCAGTATTTGCTCAGTAAATTTTGACTTTAAAAAAAGTGAGTTAAAAGGATAGCCACACCAGAAAAAAAAATGCTACTACTTACTATAGATATACAAATACAATTTATATTATCTTAGATTCTGAGCTCAGAATTCATCGAGAGAATGGATTAACCAATAACTCACTTCTGACTCACCAAGAATGACATATGTGGGAACTGCTGGTGGGAAAGGCATTGTTGTTTTTGTTTTGTTTTGTTAGTGACTCCACCATGAGTTGAAATAATTAAGATACATTAGTTTATCTTTCTTCTAAAGATCCAGCAATAGAGAAACTTCTTATTTTAATCATCTATCAATAGAAATGAAGTATTAATTAAGCACCTATGGGTACTTATAGGGCAACATTGGCTAAGATGCTATGAAGGGTGCTATGCTTTTATATATTTAAAGTGCACATACAATTTCACTATTCAGGAGGTGATAAGTTAGTCAGAACTAGTGGCATTGCGGAACTGATTACATGTATTTATTCCTCTATCATCCTACACGCCCCACCCTGAATTTATTTACTGGTTACCATCAGAGAGAATCACTGCCAAGGTTCTGGAGGTAAATGACAAAGTAAATGACAATCCAGATCCTGACCCTGGTTACTCCCAATCAAATGGGGCAGACAATTAGAATACAGCCTGTCAAGGGCTCAAGTGGAGGGGTGCACAGGATCCTGTGGAAGCCTGAGGGAAGAAGTCAAGGATGGCTTCTGGGAGGAGGGGACACTGAGTTGATGAGAATTAGCCAGTTGAGTAGAAGACAGTCCAGGATGTACAAATTGCATGTGCAAGAAACGGGAGGAAACAAGAGGGAGATGGAAACATAGGAAGGGACAAAGACTGTGTTCAAACATCTTTCTACTCTGAGGAATTGGAGAAATCCCTGAAGAGGTCGGTGCACCATTCTAAAGACATGGTACTGAGCTGGGACTTTATCCTCGGGGAACTGGGAAACCACAAGGCAGATTTAAAGAGGACTGAAAAATGTGATCAGATTTTTCTCTGAAAAGATCCTTCTGGCTTTGTATGGAAGGACAGAATGTGGGGCAAAATGGAAGGGGAGTAAAATCAGACGAGGACTTCTATATAGAGATATTGGTGATGTAAACTAGAGAGAACTAGGGGTAGGAAAGAAGTGAGTGGGTGGGTGTAACAGATAATAAGGTAATTAGTTGGATGGGGGTGCCTTAACGGAACAAGATAACTCTGGACTCTCATCTAAATAAACACAAATGGAATTTTTCTTGTCTAGACAAAGTTCACCTTGAGAGCCTCCAGCAAAGAAATGCTAGAAGCTTCATCTGCAAGCCCATTCTGCTGCCTTCAACCCCATAAATGACAGATGTCACCTCCAGAATCTCTCACTGGGCTGAAGTTGGTTCCATCCCTTCACTCACTATTCCCTCTTAGCAGAATCTTAGAGCTGCAAAGCCTCTGGCTTTCTGGTGTTCCAGAGCCTCAGGCCTCAAATGTTTACTCCCCACCTTCTTTCACCGTTTGCCACTACAGGCAGAGTGTCCTATTTCTAAGACTTCCACTAACATGTCCAAGGAATAAAACATATTTACATGATACTCTCCATTTAGAGAGAAAAAAAACTTTGAGCAACTTTCTGAACTGAGTGGTTCATACAATTTTACATACATACCACATATCTATGAGCAATAAAATATTTACATATCACCTTCAGGATCATATTTTATTCACACATGATTCCAATTTTATACAATGAAAATTCACAGATGTGACCACCAAGTCCTAATCCAATGACTCAGAGCTAAAGAATATTAAAAAAAAAAAAAAACTGAAGGGAAGTGGAGTATGTCATGCAAGCCCACTAGCTAAAAGGATCCAGAACCCCACACAGCACACTTGCATTATGTGAGAAAAGCCCAGAACACAAAGGAAAGAAGGATCTGGAGGAAGCGAGCTGCCAGTGAGTGCCCAGGAGGAATTTAAACCCCAAAGTTTTTGAATCCCTGCTGGGGACATGGCACCACACAGAGAAAGAACAGATAGGCCTCTATGGTTTCAGATGATGCAAAACATAACAATGGAAGGTAAGTCCTTAAAGGCTCCCATGAGCACCTTGTGACCTCAACTCAAGGGCCCCATAACAAGAAACCAATTGCACTGGAAGAAAAGATGCCTCACCTGTTTTGGGAAGAGGATAACTGATATTAAATAAATCCTCCAGAAATGAGAAGATGGGACCTGTAATGTTCAAAGCAAAGTCTGCATTTCCATTTGCAATGGCATCTTTCCGGGCCCAGATGTGTATCTAAATCAAAACAATTCAGCGGTGATTAGGAAAACCAATAGAGATTTGGAAAAGTGGCAGCCTGCTTGCTCCCTCTTCCTATAGCTCTACAGCCAAATTCTTACCTTTTCAGAGGCTCCATGTTTAAAACACTTCAATGAATACTTGTGCTGAGAAAACCCCAGAAGACAGTTGACTGAGTTAAGATCCAAAAGTGTGTAATGTTGACTTTTGACAGTAATATGCATTACTCTGTAATTGAAAAACAACCCTTGGAATGGTCCATACCACCATCCCATAGAAAATGCAGATTCTACATAAAAGGACACTTTGAATCCATTCTCGCCTTTTCAGGATATATTTCTAATGACCCAAAACATAATTGGGCTGTTAGTGGTGGTTATACCATATGGTGTAAATGAGGGAAGATCAAATTATATAAATTTAAAATGGTTTTCAGCAATTAAAATATTAATTGTCCCATCTTATTTTCAAATTTTAAAATATAATTAATTCCCCTAATTTTAAAAAGTCCATTAAAATTTTAATAATTTTAGACCTATTAAAGCAAGTAAATTATATTCTCTGCTTATTCTCTTGCAAAAGGACACTTCCACTTTAGATGGTAAAAAGGAAGCTCTGCTGTCTTTTGTCAGTTTTATGTAACCACACTATTTTTTGAGTCCTTGGGAACTTTTATCTGTGATTTTTCTGAGTAATATTCCACTATTTTAACATTCATTACTACTGTAATATGGAAGTATAAAATACTCTACAACTATAGCATCTAAACAATTTTAATAGGATAGTTTTATTAATGCTAAAGAAAATACATAAAATTAAGAAAGCCTGGAGCAAAAGTTAGAGGTGAGGATATTAAAATATATGTCCTGATGTGAATGCAATTAACTTAAGAAAGAGCTCTCTAAAAACACCGGAGGAAATGTCAAAAAAACCCCAAAAAACCCAAAAGCTGAACAATAGTTACAGGCTTATGTACTCCAAGAACACATTCACCTAACCATGCTTTTATTTCCACTGGAAAATTTGTCTTGAATTATGTGAATTTTGAATTACATGAAGGTTCAGGAATGTTCCTCTTGCACAAAATACAACCACCTGTTCTTGAGCCTCCAGCCTGGTTCCTTTCATTGCTTTCTGCCTCTTCTGAGCTGCAGAGGCCTCATTACAGAGGGAAAGATGACCTCAGAACTGGACCCTGCCCTTGCACTACACCTACTCTCCCCCTTCTCAAGTTCTAACTTCTGAGGTGACAGGAAGCCTGATCAACCAAAGGTGGAAATAATATTCATCTTTCGCCACAGTGGAGATAATGTGTGTGTTTTAACCGTAGCCTTCCAGAAAATAATAGCATTGACAACTCATGTTTACATATTAATTTTCAGTTTACAACACTCCTCCCATAAGTGACCATTCTTCCAGCCCAAAGTGAGGTGAACTATGGAATGTGTAGCCCCTGGAAATGCAGCAAGGAACACAAAATGGTAAGGATTATTTTGGAGATGCAGCTATGAAGTTCCTTCCAAATAATACCTGGCTCACCACTGTATTCTGGTGGTCCTTACTGAAAACAGCAGGTCCTGACATCTAAAAGAATAATATCTTTGAAAATGTCTGTGTATGCCAAATTCCACTCAGAGTTATTTCCATCCCTACTTATGAGTCTCCTATGTTTATCCTCATACTTCACATTCACATTAACTACATTCCCCATTCCACTAAATCTTTATCTCTTACTTAATGAGCAATGTTTAGATAGGCTGGACACTATTCCAAGCAAACATTCTGGTATCCCTGTAGAGTATATGGTGGACTCATCAACACTATAGAGCTGAGCCATAGCCAAATGCAACATTCCACTGATAAACTCAACCCAAACTTCAGTTTTCTGGCTAAGAATATTACTTTATGAGGCATGCAAATCATTTCCTCCTTGTTTCTATAGCAGATGGTATTCTTTATAGGGTGATCTTTCATGAAGTAACAGATTTTATTTCTTTCTAAGAATTGTTGGCTGAGCAGCACTGACCACAACAAGCAACCTGAGGGGTGGATTCCGAGGGACCACTGTGGGTCTCTCACTAGTTTGCAAGTCATGCCTGAGCAGATTTGTCGAGGTATGTCATGAAAATTTTTCTTGACCAATATTATATCTATGAATGTCAAGGATCTCCTAGTAATTATTCAGTAAGGGAAATCAGACTGGGGTAAATAGCATAGGAAGATAACAAACTTATGTTTGCATCCAAGACAGTATTACTAATTCATTAGGTTAGAAGGAATGTACAAGGAACAGCTTTGACAGATTCTTCCCCCATGATGGCTTGGCTCACCTACAGTTCCTCATCTCTACCTGTCAATGGTATGAGCCTGGAAGATCTCAGGCTCCAGTGTGGCTCAGTCACACTCAGTAGGGCCTGATCTCTCTCAACCCCATGAAACTAATGCAAGTAGAAAGAAATGGGCTGAAGGCTCTGGCCTTACTTACCTCCGCACTCTGATAGGAGGAGAACAGTATATAAAGTTATCACAATAATCTTAATATTTTCCTAAAAGTTTATGATGTACTGAGGGTATTATTGGATGGAAACCAGGTATTTCAGAACAGAGCACCCCACACAGACTTTGAGGAACACAGCAGCCCAGCTTCTAGGCAGGGATGACATTTTACCTGCATGTACCATCTCAGACACAGCAGTTGCCCCTGGCTGGTGTCTATTTTGATTGGTTGGTGCCTGGGCCCCAATTGGTATTCAACACTTTGAGTATCACCAGTTTCAAGACTACATTAGCACTTGAGGCTAAGTACAATATATACTAAATCTGAGCTTTGAGGTAACAGTGTGGCTGCTCTCCCTGTTCTTTCCCATCCTCTGCAAAGGCAGAAACAAGAAGAGGGTGCTCAGAACTTGCCTTGAGGAGTGGCTTCCATGGAAACCCCTCCTCAGAGCAGTAGCAGGAAATATTATCTCTCATTTTGCAAAACCACACCAAAAGCATTAACAGGGCTTGGAAGAGACAATTGGATATATAGGCATAACACCCAGATATAGGCAGAGTAAGTGAATAATTGCAGTCAATTCCTTGTTCCTTCCTAATGAATCTTCCTTACCTCCTTGCCCCTTTCTGTTCTGCTGACATGGTCATAATCACATATGGCAAGTGCGACCAAGTAGGTTGGCATGTGGGGTGTGGTGTAAAAAGTGGTAACAGTCCATTTGCTTCCATTCACATCTTCTTTTTCAGACTGACCTAGAGAAATGTGTTTTAGTCCAAATCACTGTAAACATAGGCAATAAAATTTAACTCTAAAATAATTTGTCAAGTCAGTTTCCAGCCACTTACCAACAACTCCCCAAGTTCTAGCATTTAGATTTCTCTACTATCCCTACACCATCAAAACTGCATTAAATTATTGTAAACTACAATCACCCCAGACTCCAAACACAAGGTAATGACAAGGAGATAGAGAAGCTAATTACCCTGATGTAATCAGTACACATTGCATACCTATAGTAAATCATCACACTGTACCCACAAATATGTACAATTAATTAACAATAATTAATTTTTCAAATAAATTAATTAAAAGTATATTAAGAGGAGACCTAAGGACAAAGTCTTGGGCCTAAGTCAGCAATTTGAGTTATATGGGGTTGTCTAAGGGTCAAGTTTATGAGGCCTGTAAATCTGATCCCCAATCTGCCTTTTCTCTCTTCTACCCACTTCTCTTTCCTACTCTGGCCCACTTCCCCCAGTGCTTAATCTAGAGCTGCCTGGATACAATTCTACCATTCTCAGGTTTCAGCAAGGTAACCAGCAGAGGCAGTCTAGAGCTTATGGCTGAAATTGCAAACCCAAATGTTCATGAGAGCTAGGCATTTGATGTGACAGGGGCTGGTGTACGCCAACCTTGAGTGCTGGAGACAATGACAGGTTAAGGGATGGAGACCAGCCTGCAGAAGGGAGACATTTCTCAGCTGCAACTGATGGCTATCAGTAAAAGTTGCAGGTCCAGTGTTGTTAGAGGTGCTGAATTCTTGAAGCAATAAAAATCTATATTTTTACATGAAATGTCTGGACCTTTAAAAATTGGAACTAATTTAATCAAAAGAAAAATCACATGAGACAAATAAAATACACCTGTGTATCAGATTCAGACCAAGTCCACTAGCTGGTTATCACTCATGATCAATAGCTGAAACTCAAACTATCGGATAGGTAGGCTGCCAATGTATAAGAACAGTTAACAGCCCTGGATTCTAAAGCAAAAAGAATCAGGATTTATCATCTCCAAAATGTGGGGGCTGACACATACCTACGTGATGGCTCTCCCCAGTTCGAACAGGCCACAACTACTAGCACACTGCATAGAAAAACGATCATCATAAAAGCTATTGCAAGGTTTATGTTTCTGTAATGACAGGAAGTATTACTTACCTCGCTGTGGCATGTTGGAAAGGGCCACATATCTTGGATGATGAATAATTGTAATATTAAAAGTTGCCTTCAAAGCTGGCTCATCAAAACAAGGAAAAACACTCCTGGCAAATGTTGGTTCCATCTGAGATGCTAAGAGGGCCCTGAAATACATTTTGGAGAAAAATTCATTTATTTTTGTCTAAATTGATGGAAGGGGGAAAAAAAAAAGAGCGAGAGATTGTGGCTTATAATTAAGTCTGGTGTGTGGGAAGGAGCCAGGTACTTTTTCTGCATCTTCCTCACTGCGCTCCCATAACACTCTCTCCAGTTCTCACTGCACCTTAGAATTCCTGTAAGACCTAAAATAAAAAAAGAACTCTCTAATTTTCAACCACAAAATAATATTTTCCTCATTGCATCATAAACCTTTAAAACATTTTATAAACAAAATAGAAACAAACATAGCAAATACACATGCCTGTTTTTTGAGGAACTGGCCTTCTTAAAACGAGGATTACTTCTTTGAGGATAGTATATTGCTTTCAGCCTTCATCAAGTCAGTTTGAAAAATGTCTATATTTCTTTTCTTTTTACCAAACGTTCCCTTTTCTTCCTGGTTGAAAACTTATGAAAGGTTTTGTTTTGGACACCCTTGGGGGTAAACATTATGGGTTCATGCCAACTGAACAAAACAACTTTTAGTTATATGTGGCTACCCACATATATTCGCCAAATCTCTACTGCTGCTTATTCTTCTTCCATGGAAAAACACAAAACTCACATTATCTCACAGAGCACTGATAATTTATAAGGAAAATCTTGGGAACAAGGTTCCCTAAACAAACAAGATGATGTCAGGATCACAACACTGCCTGAGTTAGACAAGAACAGGGATCTTAGCAAATAACCTGAAATCCTATTATCCCACTTGCCACTTGGTGACCTGGGACCCTGTCTTTAGATGACTGCTGTGAATGAATTCTTTTGTCAATTAGGATCCTAAGACTTACTATCTCTGATCCCTTTATTCTTGCTTCAGGCCCAATTCTTGGAAAAGGTGAATTCAACAAACATATCTTGAAAGGGTGTGTCCCTCCATTCCTTACCCTGGGGAACCCTTCTTTTCCCCACAATAAGGCTTCTCTTCTAACAAAAAAATTCACACAGCTTTAGGAAGGACACATGGGGCACCGGGACACATTTGGAAACCTCTTATAGTCAGATAATTTGGTGTGTCTATAACTTCACTGGGACAAAACTATAATTTGTAACTAGCATTTTTTGCTATTTGCTTTTTCCTATTTTATTATACTCTATTGCATGGACTGGCAGGAAGCCTGTGAGCTCTAACACCACCCAATATAACTATAAGACCCTGATCCCTCTCCTACTAACTGGGAAATCCTGAACAAATCACATAAGGTTGCTGAGTCTCAGTTTGTCCATGTAAAAAAATAATGATACTATTTTATTGCTGTTTGAGCTTTTATAATGTTAAGGACTAAATTTACCAAAATATCACATTTGAATTATCCTATAGTTCTTTAAATCTAAGAAATCATTCTTGATTCAGATGAATCAGAGAAGAAATCAAAGAGCAGTATTTACAAGGTAGGGGTGGAGGGTTGGGAATCACTAATTACAAATGCATTAGCCCCTAAATCCCAAGTTTTAATTTCTGTCACTACTTCAAAGAAATTGCACAGGTGTATTAAAATATATTGGAAATTCTAAATTAGAGCTTATATATATTATTACATTAACTGACATTAATATAGTTAACATTATTATATGTAATTATATTATTATTAATACTATGATATAACTATATGCATATTATATATTATATTTAAGTTTTAATAGGTGTTCCATGTCTGGAATGATGGGACAAAATGGTTTAAAGAGGTTGTAGGGTTAGAGCTGACCACAAGCTGAATAATAATTGTTTTTTTCTCTGATAAAAATTACTAGAAGTTAGGGATTATGCATTTTTTTGTATCATTTACAATACTTTACAAAAGCTGTTTCATAGCAATTGAATAAGCATTTGCTCAATCTTGGAGCTATTATAAAATACCAACAGCTTAATATTAGCATATATAATATTGAAGTAATTTTGTAGAGTTTTTAATATATATTTTTAGTTGTTGATGGATGTTATTATATTCACTTATTTATAAGCGGTGCTGAGAATTGAACTCAGTGCCCCACACATGCCAGGCAAGCACTTTTACTACTGAGCCACAATCCCAGCCCTGTAGTGTTTTTTATACTGGCATTTGTTTATAGTTTTAGCTGCTGTTTTTAGGAGACATGGGATAATGTAGAGAATATTCATTCAACTGACAGCTTAGTGGGAAAAAATATCAAAAGAGAATTCAGTCTTATGAGTTTTTGCTTGGTATCTTCAGTATAGACAAATTTGTGTAACTTTGAGAAATTGCTTAAAATCTCTAGAAATCCATTTCTTTAAAAGGCAGGTATGGGACTAGATGATCTTGAAGGTCAATTAGAATGCTAAAACTGTGATTCAAAGATGGATAAAGAGCCCATGAGGTGACCATGACTGAGTCATCTGAAGTTGGGGAACCCTCCCCTTGGGGGTTCATGCATGACTTTGAGGAAGTCAATAGCACTATGAAATTACAGAGCACTTGTTCAGATGGTGACATATTAACATAAAAATTGTGGTGCAGAGTGAAAAAGCACACCAAATTATATAAAACATGTTTATACATATGGAAAACCAAAAGATGACTATTGTTTTTATAATAGAAACCAAAAAATAAAGCTTGATGATAACCTCTCCACTGCTGTGACATCACAAAACTTAGGAATCTCAGAGAAGTTACAAGGTGAAGAGTAGGGAGAAAACAAGACTCTTCAAGAAAGTGGCAAACTTTTATGCTACAGGCTCAAATAGGACACCAGCTTGGAGAGTAACCATTTGAACAAATCAAACATCAAGCAAATGCCTTCCAACTCCATGATTCAGGTCTCCAGAGAGGTGAAATAGAAGAAACTCACTTGACTCTTATTCAACTAGTTCCCTCTTAGATTTATACAAACTGTCCTTTTGGTTTTCAATCTTAACTACAAAGGTCAGGAACAATCAGCAGTATATAGGATCTCACTAAGTCACATCTGGTGTCCTAAGGGTGCTGTCTTCCCTCACCCTCTGCTATGGAGTCAAGTAACCCTGTAAGGCTATTCAGACCTCAAAAAAATAGAACCATCCACCACTGTCTTCTCCCTTCAAATTTTACTGAAACATGTTATTATGGTGCACATTAAGTCTATGTTTAGAGTGGTCAACTGGTGAGGGAATTAATGTGGAAATATCTGCAGTGCCACTTTCCTGCCCTCTTGTCTTGCCAAAGAAACATGGACTTGCCACTCTCTGGTGCTGGAAGAGATCTCAGTGGTCAAGAACCACATGATGCCCTTGGGGAATAAATCTACAACCTTATTAAAAAATACCTACTATATACACACAGTAAGGTATTTCATTCCAAATTATTGAACTCTGTATGCCTGCAGCTCTAGTTAATAAGTGCTAAACAGCAGAGCTGGTCAAAGATTAAGTAAAACTCTTTAAGAGTCATTTCCCCCACCCCTACTTAATTTTTTTTTTTTACACAATACACACTTAGAAATCAAAATGTTTAGTAGAGCCAGATGTTACACCACTGGACTGTGGTTCAAGGATTGGCCCATAAATCATGTTTGTTTATTACTTGTGTAATAGGATCTGAAAACTGAAGTTTCCACCAGGCAACAAAATATAATAGATTCAACATTCCAAAGAAAGGTGCCAAACCATGCTTTGAAGATCTTCAAAGTAAATAATCTTTACTTGGGGTCCTTTTGGGATTCTCAGCTAGATATAAAAGACACAGAAGGGTAAGAAATGATTACAAAAGAGACCAGGGAAGAGATCTTTTGGCTGGCAGTGGGTATTTTGCCAAGCTTTCCATGAAGTCAGGGAGATAGGAAAAGGTCAATCCTCTAACCCTAGTCTAGTGGGAGAAGACCCTCAGAGAACAGTAAAAGTGTTTCTTAAGGATAAAAGACTTAAAGACTGGTGTCCAACTCACTATGGGAAAGCTGAAATTGACACTGTGGCCAGAATCTAACAATTCCTACCAGGCGAAATGCAAAAGGCAAGAGAACTGACTGCTTCAGAAGCAAAAATTTGGGACACTTACAGTCCCAGGCAAGGGTTGTATGAGTGTTCCTTGAGAGCTGTGGGGTCTGAGACAAAGTAAGCCAGGATGAGGATTGTCTTGTCCTGTCCAGTAGAGCCACCTGCAAGAAGCTGAAGGACAGTGGAGATTCATTACTTGATGTTCAAGGACCGAGAGTCACAGTGACCATCAGAACACAGAAATAAGTATCCTGCTGGATTAGGGGAATGACAGGAGAAAGTGAAACATCAGGAAAACCATGAAGAGTCTAACAAAATGATATCTTAAAGGATAAAGACATTTGTTAGGCCAGAAGAAGTACTTGCCCTATGTTTCACCTAGTTCTGTGGCCCCTGCCCTCTGCACCCTTGTGAGATTTAAGTGGCAGCTATCAAAACAGCAGGGAGGACTAGAAACAGGAGGTGGAGAAATGGAGATCAACTACTCCTCACCTTCATAAATCTTCATAAAAGATTTGAATCATTGGTCACTGAATTTTCTTGTTTTTCCTACTGCTTACATTTGTGGCTTCCATTCAGAGCCAACTGTGAAGTAGGGAGTGAGGATGCAGTGGGGTGAGAAGGAGAGATAACAGTAAATAAAATTCAAAGTTTTGAGTATTACACAAGACTTGATTTTCTCCTTTTGGCCTCTGAATGTATTTGTGATGTGGTGACAATAGATCATTTGTCACCTAAGAATGAGCAGGAAATTATAGGTTACTGGAGTTATAGGAGTAGGAAAGATGATACCATAGACTAAACTGTAAAAGGACAGTGGGAAAAACAAACTTGTATTTTTATAGCATTATGAGGTATGCCATTTCAGTATGTTTGCAAAAGATGCAGGATTTAAATATTTGGTTATCAAAATCATTTCCCAGAGAAAACTGCTTAGTCAATGAAATCCATGGGTTCAATGCTTACATAGGTAATGAAATGACCTCTTCCCTCTATGACATCATCAACTTGATG